GTTCCTCCTGGACTGAGAGAAAGTAATCTTCTATACTGGTACCTTCAAATAGGTGGCAAGGCACTCAGTGGTTTCTAGTTGTCGAGAGAGCCCTTGACTGACAGCCATCAGGAAAATGCAGGCCACAGTCCTACAACTATAAGGAACTTGTTTCTGCCAATAAGCTCATTTAAAAAAAAAGTCCTATGTACCCTGGATAAAAATAATTGTGTCAACATATGTGTGTGATGATTAATTTTGATTGCCAAATTAATCAGATTAAGAAATGCCTCAGACATTAGTGTTACATACTTTTGGAAGAGCCTATGAAGGCAATTCCAAAGAGGAATTAACAAGGGGATTAGGGTAAGACGTGCCATGAGTTTGGAGGGGGAGGAGGGTGACGTCCATCCCATAGCCAAACAGAATAAAAAGGGAAATAGGAGAAAGGTCAGTATTGACATTCCTTTTTCACCGTCCCTTGGTCCACTGAGACATGCGCAAGCAGCCTCATGCTTCCTGGTTCCTCAGCTACAAGCTACACGCTGCTCCCTGCCATGATGACTTCTCACCACGATGGACCCCATCTCCTTAAACCATGATCCAAAATTGCATGTTCCTCCCTCAAGTTGCTCCTTCTTAGGGACTTGGTCACAGAGATGTGAGAACTCCTCTACTGAGGTTTCAGCCCCATGGAGACTCCAAACAGAGAATTGAGCTCTTGGCGCCGAAAATTCTGCCGTAGAGAAACAATGGCATAAGCAATTTGCGTTGCATTAATCCAATACATTTGTAACAATTTGTTATGTAGCAGCCTAAAACTATTACAGCCAGAAAAAAAAAGCAAACACAGGAGTACCAAATGAGCAATCAGTGTCATCCAAAGTAAAGGGGACATCCCTATCACCCTACCCCATGACAGGGAAAGATTTTGTCTCTTACAAGGTCAGCCCACAATGTTCTTGGCTCATACAAAAGAGTTAATTTGCAATCCCAAGCTTGATCTTCTAAGATTATATAATGTGGTACTATATCTACCTGAACTCACTGGAACGGCAAGACTAACTCACTCACCCCAAGAGTTAGCAAGGTTGATGTCTCTCATGCTGACGCATGCGATTTCGAGAAAGCACTGTGTGATGTTCAGACCTAAGCACGTAGCATTGGTTCTCAGCATTACAGTGGGACCTTTGACCTACAGACGTGCTTCTCAATCCATGTTGCAGGAACCACCAAGAAACTAGGAAAGGTGTTTGCAACCTGAGGAACGGAGCTCTGTAGTTGCTTAATAAAAGAAAGAGAGAGAGAGAGAGAGAGAGAGAGAGAGAGAGAGAGAGAGAGAGAGAACTGGCAAAGCCCGTGATTGATGAGAAACTTGACATCTAAATTGAACCCTTGCTTTGCCACTTGCTCACCGTGACTATTTAGCCCTTCTGTGCACCTCTCTGTGAAGTGCACAACAGCTGTACAGATTAATAAATAAGGCACTAATGCTTCATACCTCCCTTTTAGTGAGCCCTGGGAAATAGGAGTCATTTAGCTACATGATGTTGACCTGATCTTAGTTTGAAACCCAAAGGCTAGGCTTTAATCGTATTGGAAAACCCCACCCCTGTGCCCAGAATAGACAGCTGAGCACACTTGATTTCCCTGATCCTGAACCCGTAGTGTCTGTTTATTGACTGGCCACTCCAGATTGGTACACAGAGTACCAGACCACGTCAGCCAAAGCCAGAATTTTAAAAAGCCATCATTTTCAGTCCTTTTCTCTTGCTTTCTTCATTCATCATAACGTGAACTATGCTAGCCATGTACACCTACTGAACCAAAACAAGAAAAATATTGTACAGCAACAATACATTAGTCTACAGAATATGTCAGGCTGTGACCTGAAAGCAGATAAAATGCTTACTATCTTTAAAAGATATCATGAAGCTAAACTTACATCCATCATTCCTGTAAGTGAGTATTATAGGGTTTTCGGTGCTGTGATAATACACGACTTGTATTATACAAAGTAACTCGGGGAAGAAAAGGTTTGTTTCACTCCCAGTTCCATGTAACAGGTCATCATCAAAGGCAGTGAGGGCGGGAACTCAAGCAGGGCAAAAACCTGGAGGCAGAAGCTAATACAGAGCCCACGGAGCGGTGCTTACTGGCTTGCTCAGCCTGTTTTCTTATAGAATTCAGGATCACCACGCCCAAGGCAGCACCACCAACCGTGAGCTGGGCCCTCCCAGGTCAATCATCGATCAAGAAAACGTCCTACAGGCTCGCCTGCAGTCCAATCTCGTGGAGGCATTTTCTCAATTGCAGTTCCCTCCTCTCGGGAGGCTTTAGCCTATGTCAAGCTGACATACAACTAGCCAGGACGGAGAGGGTGTTTAAGCATCACTTGTGCACCTTTGATGGCATAACTGGCTGCACTGCGTTAGGTTAACGAAGCCTTCAAAGGTGCATGCCACTAGTAAACACGGTCACATCCATACTCCCCACAGTGGGTCTGTTAAAGGAGCCTGCTTTCTGAGTGTTGCTAAGTTGGTGCTTTAGCCTTCCTCTACATTGCAACCAGGGACGTGGTGGCAGCATCTTTGTGAAGATGACCACTTGTTATAGGGCTTGTCAAATTGCTTAACTGACTGCAATACTTAAGAAGAAAAATGTTCTTCTAGCAATTCTGTTACAGTTTCGGATTACCATAGAAAGGGTTTGCTTGGGACATTTTTTTTTGTGAAACACCAGGCTATTGTTTGACAGTGTGGACATGTGTATGTGTGTGTGTGTGTGTGCAGTGTTCGTGTGTACGTTTACATGTGCATGCACATCTGTGCCCTTATGTGTGGATGCTATGGGTCTACACTGTATTCCCCATGTCCTCCTTTTTTCCCCTTTGAGACTGGGCCTCTCCTGAATCTGCAGCTTGCCATTTTGGCTAGATTATCTTTGCCCCTGCCAGCACTGGCTTTCAAAGTGCATACTGCCATGGGTCCGGGGGAATCATCATAGAGCCTTGGCTTGCCATGCTTGCATTTACTGAGTCAATTCCCTAGACCTAAACTGATGTTTTCCAAAAGAAAACACTGGCAAGATGCTTACAGCTCCTGCCCCTTGGCAAAAGACTCTTTGACTGGAATGTAAGGGCTAGAAAACAGTATTGGTTGTTAAAATATGCCTATCTCATTAACTTTTGCCTCCATGGTGTCTAGAAGGTGCCTGAAACAGATGCCGGCACTAACTAATCCCTAAGTGAACAAATTCAGTGAATGAATGCCATAGAATGAATTAGCAAGGTTCAAGAATATTTACATTCATTAGCTATCTATAAATTCTGAGCAGTGAAGAAAAAGATGGTCAAGTTACGAAGCAGACAAACCGGGAGGGGAGCGTCTTTAATCAAACCAGAACTATAGACTATAGCACCAGACAAAGAAACTGTTGTCAGTAGAATCTATCACCACGAAGTTTTCATTCCCAAATGGAAATTTCCAGAGCCTCTGTGGTAAACCATTTTGTGACTGGTCATTTAAGAGTAGCAAGTCTTTTGCTTGAATAAGTATGGGGCAACAGCGCCATCTTCTGGAAAAACTTGTTGGGACTTTTAAAACAATTTTCTTGTAGCAAATTAAAGAAAGAATCACAGAAAAAAATATATATTGGATATATTTTGGAGGATCTTCTAGGCCACATTTAATCTCATATGTAATGACTTTCCTTAAATGGCTGCAATATTTTTCTTTCTTTATAATGATGTAACGGAACCCCAAATTCATTTCTTAGAGAGATAACTGCAACCATCCATGCTAAACTGCATGGCAGGTTTCCTGTAACTCTGAAACTGGAAAGCAGTTAAAATCTGTTAATTGACCATCTGGGAAACACTGTCCAATAGAAGTTTCTCCAACTCTATCTGTGAAATACAACACAGTGGCCACTTCACCTGAGTACATAAATCCCTGATATGTGTGGCTGGTGGCACTGAGCTGAAGTTTTGATTTTATGTGGCTTTAATTAATTCTGCATGTTGACCTGGATAATGTTTTGTTGTGGGTGAGGGGCTGTCCTGTGAGCGTGTTAAGAGAACCCTGGCCTCTAACCAGCTATCTTTCAAATCATACACAACAGAGATTATCCTGTCGTACAAATACCCTTAATAAAGGCAACTAAGAATGGTTGCAGCCATTGCCAATGTCCCAAGTTGGGGGGGGGGCGGCGAGGGATTGAAAACCCACCCATGGCTGAAGGCCCTAAACAGCAGCTACTATACTGCACAGTGAGGTTCTAGAATATGTTAAATATTCACATGGGATTTGGGATAGGAAAAACTTACTCCTATATCTAATACAGCCACAATCATGCCATAAAATGAGAAAAGGTTAAATGGCTTTAGATACAAACAAAGAAACATTGTCCTTCTTTGTCTCCCTTTCCATGCCACAGAGTGGGAACCAGGACCATAATCACAGAAAATTCTCTCTTAGCTGAAATTGTCCTGGTTAACAGCAGACAATTTAGGTTGCATCTGGCTCCTCTGTCCTTGATCTGGGTAATTGGATGTATTGATCAGTCTGAGCTTCAGCATATTACCTGGCAAAGGTAATACAGTAAATAGTGCCCACCTGGGGAGTTTGCTGTGAAGGCTCAATTAGAAGATGCATAACGTGTTCCTTGCTTCGTGCTTACCATGGAGGACATGTTCGAAACCAACAGCTATTTTGTAGATAGTCATGTTTAAAGAGGACAGTCTCTGGGCTCTCTAACCAATAACATAAAGTACCCAGTGTGTTCCCATTAAAAAAGAAGGGTCTCACTGGGAGGGAAAAAAACTGTAGTTCTTTGAGACAGGGTTTCTTTGTAGCTTTGGGGCCTGTCCTGGAACTAGCTCTTATAGACCAGGCTGGCCTTGAACTCACAGAGATCTGCCTGCCTTTGTCTCCCGAGTGCTGGGATTAAAGGCCTGTTGTGTTGCCACCGCCCAGCAGGGGTGAGGGGGCGGGGGAGAAAGCACTAACCAAACATTCAAATGTTATAAACAAGTTTATTTGAAACTCCAGAGGCAGAAGTTTCAACTTTTTCACTTGTTTGTGGCTCCACTCCCCCACGCAATTAAAGGTGTAAAAGGAAGCGTTTCAGGTCTTCCGGGAGGAGGAGTCCAGAAATCTTATGATGCTGCCGAACGCCGAAGCATTTCCGGATTCTCAGGCGGCATAACTGCATCAAAGACAGGGGTCCTGGAGAAAGAGCATGGCACAAGTCACGCATTAGCTTCGCTGACCTAGGACTGCCTTTAAAATTATGCAATATATAATATTCTTATACAGAAATACTATACGCTTAAGGTCATGTTCCCTTGGGTTTGCTTGTTTGTTTTTAGCTTTTTTAATTTTCCTGAGATTATAATATAATTACATGAATTTCTCCTTCCTTTTCCTCCCTCCAAACATTTCTGCATACCTCCTCCTGTTCTCTTTCATCATTAATTATTATGTGCATATATGAAGGGGTATTTCGAGGCCATATTCTCTCTTTTCCTATTTAACTAAATACCTTTTTGGTATTTTAAGTTTTATTTTTTATTTTTAACTGTATGTATGTGTATAAATGATAGTAGCTCACTTGAGTGTACCCTTGGAGGCCAGAAGAGGACATAGGATCACCCACAGTTGGAATTACAGGCGGCTGTACACTGCCAGATGTGAACGCTGGGAACAGAACCCCGGTCTTCTGCAATAGCAGGAAGCACCCATAACTGCTCAGCCATCTCCGCCCCTCACTGGATTTTAATTTATGACAGAGTGAAAGACGTTTAAAAATTACCTTTGCTAACAGATGCTTAAGGAAACTAACTTGGAGATTAAATGACTATATGAAAATTCTAATCATAAAAATAAAATGTATGTTTTATGGTGCTGTTCTTTTACATTAAAAAGTAAATCACTGTTCTAGATGAAAGTATGATTATTTTATAATTTTAGCAACTTAAAGATGTTCAAATATACTAAGCTCCCAATGAATCCTAAATTCCTGTTATTAAGTCATAATTCCTTTTCTATTCTATATTCTAAGTTATCCCAAAGCTTCAGATCATGGGTGAAAACTGAACTAACAGAAACATGCACAGGGAACACCCAGGAGTTTACATCTTATGATGACGGCTCTCAACAGTCTGGGAAGGGGAAAAGAAAAAGGAAGTATTTTCTTCCTGCAGTCAGGAGCACAGAACAGCTCTTGACTCTGTCAATGGTATTAAGGTTTAGAACCCGATTATAGTATAAAAGGGAAAGTATAATCACCCACCCTACCTCTGCTCCTTACACCAAATAAAAATGGAATTTTTCTGGTAATTGTTTCTTGATTTTTCCAGACAGGGCTTCTCTGTGCAACAGCCCTGGTCGTCCTGGAACTAGTGCTGTAGACCAGGCTGGCCTTGAACTCACAAAGATCAGTCTATTTCTGCCTCCCAAATGCTGGGATGAAAGGCATTCATCACCACCACAGGGCTTTTTTTGGTAATTTTAAAAAGAAAACTATATACCCTTAATAATGCCATGAAACAGTAGCCTTCGATCCAAGATCCAATTTAGATTTGGCTGGAGCTGGGGAAGTTTAAACACGTGACGCTGTGTCCCGCCCCAAAGATACTGCTTCAGTTATCGATGGTTTGGGCCTGTGGACATAGATTTTGTTAAAGCCACAGGCCCCAGGCCATTCTTGTGAAGTCAATCTTGAGACGACAGCTGAAATGATACTGTGGCCCCTACTGTCCTACAGCCTTACCACAAGCAACAGGTCAACTTAGTTCTGGGTCTCTCAGAGACGTGAAAACAAATATAGTCAAAGAGATGTGTGTGCACTCTAGCTGGGGCCCTAAGAGCACTTTCCAGAAGGGACCAGTTGGATAGGGCACCTTCCAGATTATGCTCAAGGCACAGAGCAACAACAAACTTCACAGCATATACTTCGGGAGAAATGGGAGTTAACCTAATTTCACTACAGAGTGCTGGAGGATGTGACTAACACGTGCCAGACACACTGTCAGGGCAACTGTGGGAAGCGCTCATGAGGTTCGATGAAGAAGACGACTTCAGAGCAAGCTTGTTTGACTGAGAGAATCATTATACATTGTCAATCTGTGCCATGACAAAGAGTTTTAGGTACCAAGCACAGGGGTAAAAAAAAAAAAAAAAAAAGAAGAATATTCTTAAAATCCTTTCCCTTAGCTTCCAAAGAAAGGGGATCCCCACCTTTTCTATCTTCCATGCCGAGCCCAACTCAGCACAGTTAAGTTTCAGCTAATACTCTCCAGTCCCCATACTCTTGAAGAACAGCAATTTAATTAAGTTGCCTCCCTGAGCACAGAGCATCAGGTAAACTGAATCAGCAAGGACACCCAGACACAGAAACTGATGTGTTCCAGCTGCAGATCTAACTTTCTGTGCTTGCCTGGGACCGTTTCTGGTGGGCTATCTGCCAGCTAAGAAGTAGCCTCACCAGAGTCCCAAAAGTGACTCGTGAAGGCAAAGCAGAGGTGATTTTCTTCAGGGTAAAATTGGGTGTCCTTAGGGTGGCACCTACAGCTTCTCATTGTGGTAAGCGTGTGCTCTCCCACCAAGCTGGACTTCCTAAACCAGTAGAATCATAGGTCTTACGGTCACCATGCCAAGTGTGAGATGAAATGAAATTAAGGATGGCACAGGTCTCTATGAATACCTTTGGGGAACAGAGTAGAAAGAGAACATCAAGCTGAGCATAGTGGCGCACACCTTCAATCCCAGCAGGAAGGCAGAGGCAGGGAGATCTCTGTGAGTTAAAGGCTAGCCTGATGTACATAGCGAGTTCCAGGACAGCCAGGAATACATAGAGATACCCTGTCTCAATTTTTTTTTAAAAAAAAAGGAAATCATAGTGAAGACAATCTGAAAATCTTATAAGGTTCTATGAAGAGGAAGGAGTGATAATCACCCCACTATATGATTTCAGAGGACCCGAGACACAGTTACAGCTACTCTGGGTGTCATATTCCCAATAAAAAACATTACAAAGTATTTCACAACTATGTTAGTATAAAGATAAATATAATTCTAGTTAAGCTTTATTTGTCTTCTTGTTTTAATCAAAATTAAAACATTCCTGTGGGCCCTGAGGGACTGTAGGAGAAAGTGACCCTGTATGTATACACAGAATCTTTTTAAAACAAGAAATCATCAAACCGCAGGCAGAAATGCCCAGTGACTATCCCACTGGTTAACGGAAAGAGCTCTCTAGTTGATTCCTTCTGCCTACATCAGTCTTCCTCAGCCTGCCCTGAAACTAAAGAATGCAGGCAATTGCACGATGGGCAATTGCCCTGGGACAGTGGGGGTAGGGGAAAGTTCTTGGCCCACTTTATCATTCCACTCAGCCTCGGCCCTACTTCTCAGCCCGTGGTTAGAAAACAATCAGCTTATTTGACATCAGAGTCCTTGGGGGTAGGGAGGCCTGCTTCAAAATCCCACAGTCCAAAACCAAAGCATAATCAAGCCTCCGGCAGGAAAGCAGGTCCTGAACTTCCTCCCAGGACAACTAATAATGCAATCAGGTATCCTCCCAAGCTGGAAGGGATCTTTGCTCCAAGAAATGGCCCTTCTCCTGTGCCCGCCACTGTTCAGTAATTTGCGTGAGCAGTGTGAGGCCTTATTTATGGAGGAGTGCGGTTAACTTGCAAGAGTAAATGTATCTTGATTGGTGTGACTCATTAAACAAATACCCTAAACTCTCGGTTATCTGCATCTTAAGCCCAGCAATCAATTATTCTGTGGTTTGGCTGCTATACGGAGCAGTTAGACATCTCAGGGGATCAGACAATGCCTAGAAGGCTCCCGCTGAATGTCTCTAAAGCAGTGGTTCTCAACCTGTGAGTCACAAGCCCTTTAGAGGGTCACCTAAGATCATCAGAAAACACAGATGTTTACATTCTGATTCAGAACAGTAGGAAAAATACAGTAACAAAGGAGCAACAAAAATAATTTCATGGTCGGGGTCACCACAACTTGCGGAACTGTGTTAAAGGGTCACAGCATTAGGAAGGTTGAGAGTCATTTATCTAAAGCATGCTTCGGTTAACTTAAATATCAAATACTTTTAAATAATAGCTGACCTCTTTAAAAACTGGCCTAACAGCCCGACTCAAACATCAAACAACAGAAGGCTGTTTACTTCATAAACAATGCTATGCCCTGTGGGATTATCTCAGGCTCCCCACACATGGTGACGGCAGAGAGCAATCTTTTATTGGACTGGAAGTCTGAACGTAGTAAATACCTGTCTCATGCTAAAGATCAAAGGAATATCAGGGCTTATGGCTTAGATTCGGGCAAAGAAAGGAGAGGCACCTTCTCTTTCCAAGAAGATCTCGGACAGAGGACTTCCTGGGGGCACCAGCTCCACGGGCCGCTTTCCTTCAGCATTCTTAGCTTGAGCATTTGCTCCGAAGTCCATCAGCAGATGCACCAGCTCCCCATTTAACATCCTGGCCGCTGCATGAAGTGGAGAATCCAAGCCTTTTCCTTGATCCACAGATGCTCCTAGACAGTCACAAGAACAAAAGAGGTCAAAGGGGAGCAGTGTCTAACCACCCTCTTTCTCAAAACATGGAGTCTCAAAGGCGTTTAACAATTGAGAATACGTGATGAACATAATTCCGTGAGACTGGGAACTGATCTTTTTTATATCATTTAATATAGTAAGAGGGAAACTGAGCAACGGATATAGAGCTCTCTTGGTTACGTGGTTGCCATGCACGTATGAGCATCTGTGCTCAATCACTAGCATCCAGAGGAAAACCTGAGTGTGGTAGCACGTGCTCGTAATCCTAGTGTGCTGATGGGTGGCGACAGGCAGACCCCTGAGGCCAGCTGAGCCCAATCGGGAGCTTCAGGTCCCAGTGAGAGCCCTGTTCTGAACATCAAACTGGATGTCTCCTGAGGAACAACGCCTTTGACCTCTGGCCTCCACATGTACACACACACACACACACACTTTTACACAAATAAAAGGAAATTATTATCTGACAATGTGACTGGAAGTGCAGTGTGGGCTACATAGCATATGGAGCTAACAACTCACACCAAGTATTCTTCATGAGCATAACGCGATCAAGAAAAATCTGGATAGCATGAAAGCTACGTATTCATTATATTAGACAGACCAAACATGAGGTGAGATGGGGAAACCCTGCATACACCACGAAGTCAGATTCACACACTGACCAGCCAGCATTGCATTTAGAGCCATGGGGATTTGAGACTCTCTGAGCTGGATCATTAAACACAATCAATTAAGGAAGGTATTTTTTCCCCCGAGGTGGAGTAATGGATCCTGTTAGCACACAGGAAGGATGGCAAATTCTTTTTAGGAGTCAGGTGGATTTCTGGGAATATCCCCACCCAACTCTACCTACCCTCTAAATAAATCCCTACCCCAGTTCAGACACTGCTTCTTAGTGAGGTAAATGCAGGTCACGCTTTCAACTGAGTTCATGTCCCTCTGCAAAAACCGATGCCCCCTCAACAAATGTTGTTTTTAAACAACATTTTCTTTTAATTTGTGAGAGATGCCAAACATGGCCTTGTCCTGGATAACAGCTTTAAATGTCTCAAAGCTTAAACTCTACCTAAAAGTAGTAATAGGAAGGAGGGAGCGTGGCGGAGAAAGCTTGGGAATAAGAATGACTAAACGTTAAGTGAAAAGAAGTAGCGAACTCAAGAGCAGTGGGGAAGAGCGAGACTCCTGGAGTCCTAAAGGAGGAACAGAATTCAGATAATTAAAGAGTTGCAATAGTGTTCTCAGTGTTGAGAAGGGAACTCCCTTCTGGACAACTGAAGGGAGATAGGGAATGATAGCACATCTCTTCAAGAACAGGAAAATGTTTATGGCAGACTAAATTCCTAATCAGAAAGAAATGTGGAAGATAGTCCCAAATAGGAAGAGTCAGCCAGAAGTTGTAAGTTTTGCAAGCTGTGCAAAGCTGAACATATGATTGTCCAGCCAGAAAGAGGCAGAGGAAAGGGAGGACCAGCTAGTGATAAATGAGGACCAACCACCCTGGAAGAAGGTATGGGCGGTATCACTATCTTCTTCTTCTTCTTCTTCTTCTTCATTGCCATGCTAGTTAGAAGTGAGAGAACTGAAGTGTGAACCATGTGGAAGAATCTTCCATCAGGACAGTGTGGTCTCGCTCAAGCCCCTTGCCCACAGTCTTCCCTCTAGTATGACAGAAGGATCTTCAAGATTCACTTAATTTACTTTTCATTTGCACACCTTATTTTGTTTCACTTTTTTTGTCTTACCTGACTCCAGAAGCTTCTTGGCACAGGCTACCTGCTGATTTTTACAAGCCACATACAGAGGAGTGCCCAGGTGACTGATGTTATAGTCGATATTGGCTCCATAAGTTGCAAGGGACTCGATGCATCCCACATGGCCTACAGCCCAAAAAAGAAGAAGAAAGGGATTATGGTACAAATTCCCTAAACAACAACCCCAGTTTTTTGTGTATTTAAATGTATCCCAAACATATCCAGCAATCCAACGCCACATTCTTTTACTCCGAATGGAGAATGATTTCAAACACTGACATCAGAGTAAATATCTATTCCAAAGTCCATTAGGCCAGCTCCGTCACTGGACATCCACGCCACACCATGAAGAGGAGAATAAGGTTTTTGCCACAAAAACCAAAGGAGGGTCAGCCAAAGAGCAGGCTCCAACCATTCGTATCTGCAACTATGGTTAGAATGGCACCTGCAGCCGTTCCCCTTTACCAGTTGTTTGTGTGCTTAAAAGAGCCATGGAGAGACAGGGCTAAAGATGGTCCCAAAGGAGGACATGGGACGCATCACAGCACAGGGAAAGAAGCTTACAACTTGCAAAGGCAGAAGGACTAGGCCACAGTGAGCAGAGGCAAATCTTAGATACTGCCAAATCCCATGGGAGCAAAGCCCAGTCTGACAAAACAAAGTTCAGTCAAACAGATTCACTCTGCCTTGACCCAGAATATCATACTTTAAACATTGTCTCTCTGCAGTCTCATGTTGAGCCATTTTAGCTGTATGCATGCAGTAAATATGTTGAGATGGTTTGGCTCTTCATAAAGTAATGGTAATGCTTTCCCAGATAATCTCAACATGGGTTGGTGTGGTTGAATGCAAAGTCATCTGGAAAACCACTGGGTAAATAGAAAGTCCTCCAGCAAAGTATAGGTGTGCCAGTGATGATAAACACCAGAGAAAAGTAAAACTTCACATCTTACTTTATAGAAAGATTTGCCCCCTTAGGACAACTGTCAACGTCACAGAATCTAGAATCAGTTAGAAGGCAAGGCTCCAGGCACACTTGTGAGGAATTATCTGATTGAAGTTGGCTTCTGGGAATTTCTATCCCAGAAAGATAATTTCTGGGATTATCTTGATTGTTGTTAATTAGTATGTGAGCCTCATCTTCATTGTAGGCAGGGCCATTCCGTGGCCAGGAGACTCATCTTCATCGTGGGCAGGACCACTCCCCGGTCAGGAGAAATCAAGCTAAGCAGCAGCGTGTGTGCATCCATCGTTCTCTGCTTCCTGGTTGTAAATGACATGTGACCAGCTGCTTCAGGCTCCCACTACCTTGAAGTCCCCACCATGATGGACTGTACTTAGAAGTGGGAGCTAAAATCAACCCTTTGTCCTTTAAGTTGCTTTCATCAGAGGTCAGAGTATTTTATCATGGCAACAGGGGAAAAAAAAACTCTAAGATCATCCCTGAATTGATAGAAAATATGGTTCGCTTGTCAAACTTAAATGACCCTAAACCACTATTAACACCCTAAAACAAAAAAAATGAAAGTTTATTTTTACAACACACAACAAATGGTAAGGAACCCTTATCCACTGCAGGTCGGAATGTCAACCAGTACACCCCACAATGGAAGGCATGATGGAGGTCCCCCAGAAAAACTTCAGTGAAATTACCAGACAACTCAGCTATACCAATACTCTTGGGTATACACTAAAGGAACCTGAGCCAATGTACCACAGGGATATCTGCAAACCCGGGTTTATCATAATATGGTTCACAGTAGTCGAGATATGGAATCATCCCAGATCTCCATTAATGGGGGGAAAATATGATACATGCACAGCACGGTTTTATTCTGCCATAAAGAAGACTGAGATTATATTGTTCACAAGAAAATGAATGTAATTGGAGAGCATCTTGTTAAGCAAACTACGTCGAACCCAGAAAGGCAAATACAAAATACACATCCACTCATATGTGAAACTTAGATTATATATGCATGTGCACACCCACACACCCACACATACACACCATAAAAGTAGAAGGGGGACTACTTAGAAGAGGAAGAAGGGCAAGAGAGGGAAATGGGGTTGGATATGACTGAGGTGCATGATAGCCTCAAATGAAAATGTTAGTGTGACGCCTATTGATTCAAACAATTAAATAGGAACTTTAAAAAAAAAAACCTGGATTTCTATGGCGTCAAGTATTCCACAAAGATCCATAGTCTACTATGTACCATCCCTTGTTATGAAAGTATAGCTCTGAAAAGGTGATTCTCAAACTTAACTGTGCACCAGAATCCCCGGAAGGGATCTGGCTTAAATGGGGCTGGAGCAGGGCCCAAGAGGCTGCCTTCACAGTCCCATCATACTGATGCTCCTCCTACCAGGTGCCCTTTGAAAGCTACTGCTCCAAAACGCATCCCTCTTCTTTCCCATTTCAGTAGGACTGGGTAAAAAAAACAAAATTCCCCATGGATTTACCTCTCTTGGCAGCCTCGTGGATGGGAGAGGCCAGATCACTCTCAGGGTGGGGAGCGGCTCCATGCTTTAGAAGTAAATTCACACAGTCCTGGCTGCCACCGACGCAGGCATTAAACAAGGGAGTTCGCCAGTCTATAGCCATGCCGTTCACCTGCAGAGAAAACCCAGCTCCAGGATGAAGACAGTGACTGAGGTGGACCACACACAGGTTAACCCTCCCACATTCAAAGCATTTTTTTTTAACTTCTCTGAGCCTTAAAGTCCACTTTTTTATGTAAAATGAGGACCACCAAATTGTTATAAAAAAAGAAAAGAAGTATAACATATAAGGCAGTAAATAATATTACTGAAGATTCGATCTTCTCCCTGCCTTCCTTGGGGTTATGAACTTTGAAATTAGTTGTGATGATCCATAGCATGGCTTACAAATTAACATTTCCATTTTAGACATCTATCCTAGACAGTAGCCAGAATAATCTGAAATTGACTTCTAAAAAAACCTGGGTTTTTTTTTATTTAAAAGGTTGATTCTCGTGCAAATATGCTTAACATATGCCAAGATTTTGTTCTATTCATCCATAAATGAGAGAATTGGTAAGATGGTAGGGTCGGATCAACGAAGAATTTATATAGCCAGTCAAGATGCTACTTAAATATGTTTGCAAATAGATACAACACTGGTTAACAAGATCATAAAATTAAATATTTCAGAGCTGTTTTTCTAATGTTAGAAATTTCACCGAAATTTACAAACTAGCAACCATGTCATGATGTTTCAGCTACAAACAAGCCCAAATACACAGACTCTTCTAATCATATAATCTGATGTAACCATTAAATGAAGATATTGTGGGGAAAAAACTGAATTCACTGCCACACCCTCTTTCCAAAGAAGGCCAAGGCCTAGATGACATGCTGGAGATGCTCACTCTCGGGGTCCCATAGTGCCACAGGACCACGGAGTGACTGTTTCTTTAGCATTTCCATCTCAGTTGCCTCTTTTGCCTCCCCTTAGCCTTGGCCCTGTCCTCATCATAAGAAACCTTCTCACCCACTATTCTCCTGCCACAGAAATGGGTTGGTAAAATCTGCCCAATTTTACTTCCAGGCTTTTGTGTCTATTGTGTCTCATGCATTCAAAGTCTTTACCTTCCTTTAATTCACAATTTGGCTGACTGGTTCTAAGGTCTTTCTGTTTCAGATTAGACATCATTTCCTATAGAAAGCCCCTTTCGATCACCATGCTGGAAATAGATAAACACTTGTATGTGCTCCCAACAATCCTATTAATCGTTTGGCTCTGTGTTAGTCTCCAAACTGGCTCTTTCACTCACATGGTGCACATTCCTTTACAATATGGCTCTGCAGACCCTCCCATCACAAGACGGAGGCTAGTTTTCCAGTGTTTGAATCTGAGCTTGCCTTTAAGACTTACGTTAGCCAATATGACAATAGCAAATGTGACGCAAGGGGAAAAGGCCTGCCTTCTGTTGCTGCCCTTGCAATCAATCCCTGCTCTCCAGTGAACAAATGCAGGATGCTTGCTAAAGGATGAGAGATTACAGAGAAGTTCTTACTCTGACATCCCAGCCATCCCTAGCTGAATTTCTCACCTTTCCTGCAGCATTTCACTCCCTGCCACCCAGAGACATGAAAGCAGAGAGCTTACAATTATGTAGCATTATTTATTAGTGCTATCTGATGAGGGAAATGCTTCAGACTCTAAGCATGACTTTTGTGGTAGTTTGAATTAGAAATATCCCCCGTAGGCCAGGCAGCAGTGGTCACCTTTATTCCCAGCACTTGGGAAGCAGAGGCAGGTGGATTTCACTGAGTTCGAGGTCAGCCTGGTCTACAGAGCAAGTTCCTGGACTGCCAGGGCTACACAGAGAAACCCTGTCTCAGAAAGAGAGAGAAAGAGAGAGACAGAGACAGAGACAGAGACAGAGAAGAAATACCCCTCATAGGCTCGGGTATTTGAACACTTAGTCCCTCCCTAGTTGGTGGGACTATTTGGGGTGATGGGGTGGCCTTGCTGAAGGATGTTTGTCTTTGAACCATTTGAACCGCATCCTCTTTCTTCTTCCTGTTTGGTTTTGAAGATCCGAGCTCTCAGCTTCCTGCTCCTACTGCCAAGTCTGCCGCTTGCAGTCACGCCTCTCCATCGCGGGCTCTTACTTCTCTCGAACCGTAAGCCCAAATAAACTCTTTCATCTCCAAGTTACTTCTGGCCATGGTGTTTTATCACAACAACAGAAAAAGGAACTAATACAACTTTCTAGCTAAAAATTAAACAGTCCACCTCCCAGTAAAGTATATGCACTTGATGAGCATAATACTCTAGAAACGGCTCAGTCCTCACATTTCAAATCAGACTAGTCGAAGGTGCTGGAAATTATTCAGAGGGATGGAAATAGCCAGCCTTCATTTTTGATACTGCTTGTTTCTATTATTTAAGCTTCACCTACCTGAGCTCCGTGACTCACTAAAACATTTGCACACGACAGATGACCTCTCAGGCATGCTTCATGGAGTGGAGACACGTAGTCGGCTGTGATGATGTTCACAGGCCAGCCCTAGAAGAAGAGAAATGGCTTCAAAATGGGGGAGAAGGCAACAGTACCCTCAGCTTGGTTTTCAGCTATATAATTCCAGTGCTATGTGAATTCTCTGAAAAGTTAAATCATATGGGCAGGAAAAAAATGTCTACTAAAGTCATCACTGTCAGGTAAAAACAAAAAGACAAGAAAAGTGGCCCCGTCCACAGTGCAAACGAGAGCCTAATATAAGACAGCCACAAAGGAAATGACTTTACCAGGATCTACTGAAGCCAGTAACTCGGCAATTTCACTGTTACATACACTCAAGAAACAAATACCTAGGAGTCTGGGGATGTGGCTCACCTGGTAGACTGTTTGTCAATCTGCTTGATTTAACAGTGGGCATCACCAAGTACCTACTGAGAGGGACAAGTATGACAGGAGAGTGAGGGAAAGCATATGTGAGCCTCTCCTTGCCTGGCTTGCGCGTGCGTGTTCACGCATTGCCTGGGAAGCCCTACAGTGAGTCTTGTCTCCTAGCAGTAATGGTCTGTGTACTCGGCTCCCCTTTCATGCAGTATTTGCTGATGCTGCCTCTTGCTCCTCCTTCATTCTTCTTTTTCCTCCTCCTTCTTCAGTTTTCCTCATCCTCCCCTTCTTCTTCTCCCCTCCTCCTCCAGGTTCTTCCACTGTTCTTCCCTTACTCTTTCTTCTGTAGTCTTCCCTTTCCTCCTCCGGTCCTCTCTTCTCTCACCTCTGCTTCTCCCCCTCAACTGTTCTCCTACGTTTCCTCCTCCCTTCCACTTCCCCTCTCCCTTCTTCTTCTCTCCTTCTGCTCCTCGTCTTTCTGCATGTGCCAAGCCACTACTCTACCACTGAGCTGCATTCATACCAAGATTTGCTTCTAAATAAGATAATATATAAAGGTTGTTTCCAAGATTTAACAACTCTTATTTGCCTTGTTCTCTTTAGTGGTGGCATCTTCTGGGCTTATTCTGGTGAAGTCCTTGACAAGAAAATGAGGGTGGCCCCCACCCAACAACCAGTCAAGAAGTGAGACCCTCAGGAGGAGTTGGATCTTGTCAGCTGCTGCCTCAGTAGGCCTGGGTACTGATCTTACCTTAGTCAAACTTAACGACGACGGTAGACTTTCTTTTGAGAGTCCCGGCCCCATCAAAATGTTGTCTAAATTCCTGACAAAGTCCATAACAAAGCCACTTGTTTGTTGCTTCATGTTGCTAACTTTTGAGCAAATTTTTTACACAGCAAGTGGTGTGGGCCAAATGATACAGGGCCAAACCACCAGGTGAACCTCAGTAGATAAAAAGTCCCAAAGCAAAGAGCCAATTGCATTCTCATACTCGGCCCTAGGTCTGGAAATGCAAAAAAGTCTAAAAGTTTAGCCTCAGAATCCATCACCCTCTGGGGAAATGTGTAGTCCAGGAGACAGATCCTGAGCTCAGTGCAAGCAGGACATGAAAAGCGGTCCAGGAGCAGAGCAGGTCCAGAGCCCCAGCCCTACCCCGATCTTAGAACATGTTGTCCTGGAGACACAGGTACAAAAAAATGTACGTTTAAATCTACATATGCTTAGGTTGTTTTTAATTGTCTCTCTCTCTCTCTCTCTCTCTCTCTCTGTGTGTGTGTGTGTGTGTGTGTGTGTGTGTGTGCGTGTTAGAGAGAGAGAGAGAGAGAGAGAGAGAGAGAGAGATTATGTGTGTAGGTGTACAGGTATGATGTAGACACGCATGCATGTTCAGGTACATGTGTCCTGCTTTATGACAATCCTCCTTATGCCCTAGAGACAGCATCGCTCACTAAACCTGAAGTTTGATTGGCAGTCAGAGAGTGCCAGCAAGCCTTCTGTTCCTTCCCTCCCCAACCCCTACAGTGTTGAGGTTGCAGGTTAATGTGACCAACCAAGCTTTTCACGTGGGTCCTCATATTTGTGTAGCAAATGCTCTTATCCACTGAGCTATCTCTCTAGCCCTTATGCATGGCTAATTTAATCAATGACTCAAATATGTATTATAACTTTTCTTCCTGGAATAGTCTAAATTTGCCCAAAATGGTTCCAATAAATGGCCTTACTCTCCATTAGTCCTGACACATATTTTTCTACTTCTATGAACATTTATTAGTGGGTCAGCAACTAATCATCTTGAGCCTTTGGCTTTTACCTTCTCATCGGCAGGGTCATACATTTTGAGATATCAAATCACTTGATGCTCACGCCCCGGTTCATAGGGGCTCAGATCCAGAGCCCGGGAAAAGGCTCTGGGAGATTTGCCATAATATGTTTGTAAATGAGAGGCTCCAACGCCATTGACAGTCTCTCTCAATGCCCAATCTGCTGTTTACAGGGAGGAAAGATACTGAGTTTCCCTTTCTCCAGAACCTCAAATTCCATGTGTACACCCCAACACTGCAAAACACAGCTCTCAATGTCCTGACACCAGAAGAACTGAATATATCCCTTCCCAAGCATCACCATGGATTTTACAACATGATACTCATTATTTTACTATTGCTATTATTATTCATTTGTTCATTTTAGTGACAGCACCATCCCAACGCTTCTTGTTTTGTTTAAATTTTCATTGTCAATGTTCTCCTATCTGTCTAATCTACACCATTCACCCTGCAGCATGTAGGAAAATTCATGATGAAATTGTTAACTGCAAATTTAGGCCTGGTGGCACAGGCCTGCAGTCCCAGCTGCTCAGGATCAAAATGTCAAATCCTGCCTGGGCCACAGAGCAAAGTTCAAAGGCTAGTACCAGCGAGTTAATAAAACCCTAACTCAGAAAAGAAAAAAAAAGCTGGTAGCATAGTTCAGTAGTAGATTAACTGCCAAACATGTGTAAGGCCCTAGATTCAATTTCTAGTAATACACACACACATAAACACACACACACACACACACGCACACACGCACACGCGCACACGCACACACGCACACACACACGCATGCACGCACGCACGCACGCACGCACGGCTGCTTTTTTGCCTGTCTAACAGAGGATGAAATGAAAGACAACTGTCCTTTCAATGAAATCTTTTACTCATTTTGTATTATGAAAAGTAGTCCTCTAGCGAGTTCAAAGCCTGCACTTGGGAACTTGTAGATAAACCCAGGAAAACACAAGGCAACAAGGAAATGAGCCTCGGTGTGAAACCTTTTAACCATGCATTATAGAGTCACGCTACAGCAAAGTTCCTCTAGGTCTCCTTCTGAACCTGTAGGGCCTTATTTAGAGTCCATCAAGCCACAGCTGTACCTTCAATGATCTTAGGATTTGTCTGACTAATTGACAAATCTGAATCGTATAATATCAGGGTGTAATTTTTCATCCACGGTGAGCTCTGCCTACGCAAACACATACTGACCGGACAGCTTCTTTTTAATGGTTCTCTGAAGAGCTGCCACCTTTTTTTCAGCCCATGGCCACACACCTTTTTTGGCAGGCCGCTTGGGTTGTACAGGATTGAGGATTGGTGACTGGGCCAATATAGAGCTCAGTCCCCCATAACATTCTGTTACAACACGGAGTGTCATGTGGCCACCTAGCTGGAGTCAACCACAAAGACCTTTAGGCTGGTCAGCTTTTCTGTCTCTGGTTCCTACTTCCTTCTGTACTCTCAGCAAAAAGGAAGCTGGTGATGACCTGGCTTCCTCACATTCACTCCCGTCCTGCTTCACCAAAGAGATCACAGCCATTTGAAATGGCCCCCTTATCCCTACCCCTGAAGTCTATCTGCACCTTCTACAATCTTCCTTCCCCTTGATCTTTTCTGTGAGGAAGAAACATATGGACTTGCCCTGACAGCCCTTGGAATTATGGGGTCCGTCCTCCATCCATAAAACCTTATGTCATCTACCTTCTTACATTCTCCCACTCCCCAGTTCTCTCTTCAGACATACTTTACTTCTGCGCCCCACACTTTCCTGTCCTTGAGTCCCAAAGCCTCTGTCCAGCCATCATCCGGCATCCTCCTTGCTTTCACTATCCCCCCACAACAAAAATTAACTAGGCTCTCGGTTTTGCCTTCTATCAGATATTCCCCTCTACTATGCGATCCTGCCCAAACTTCTCTTAATGATCTTAAAATGGAAGATAAACTCCACCAGAGGGTAAAAAGCTTTCACTGGAGACGGGGTAGAAGATGGGAAAGAGAACATGGGAGAAGGTCAACCGAAACTAAGATTGTATGCAAGTGTCATAAGTAAAGCAGGAGTGTATGTAAATGCCCTAAGGAAACTTGCTGCTTTGTGTGCTTCATTAAAAATCAAATAAAAATAAGTAAAGCTCACCAGTAACCTTTCTGTCAAAGCCAATATGCAATGCTCAGTCTTCCACGTCCTTCCACCTCTGATTTTGCTGTTTATTCATTGTGACCTCCGGAAACCTTTCCTCTGGCCTCTAACATACTGTTCTACCTGATTTCCATCTTCAGACCATAGGTTTTCTCTTTCACTGACTCTGTCCCTGCCTCTGAACCTCTCCCAGCATGGGCATTTCCTCAAAGTTTCTCCTCAAATATTTTGGATTTTTTTGTATATTCTTTTCTATGCTGCTTACATGTGATTGCATGCAAATGCGCACACACACGCGTGCACACGCGCACACATACACACACACACACACACGCTCTTAAGCATCCCTGGTGCCTTTTCAAATTCTATGCCAAGATATAATCACCTAGGGACCCAACTAGCAATATAAAGTCAGCCTGTTTCGATCTAAGAAAAAAATCCTTGCCACTCCCATTTCTCTCATTGGCATGAAGAGCTTGCTTGATCTCTACAACTGAGAGCTCAGGAGGTAGAATGGCAGTTACTCCCAAGGTCAAACACAAGTACCAGAACCTAACAAGCAGTGTGACTAGCAGCCAGTTACCTATCCCTAAGGTACAATATGCTCCTATGTAAAATGGCTACCACTGCACCTGCCTCCTAAAGTTATTAAGACTGGAAAATGGTGGCTGCAAAAGTTCAGCACTCAGTAATAACCAACCAGGTCAACACTATCTGGGATCTCTTCTTCTTTTTCACTTAGCCTTCAGTCAGTTGCCAATTTCTAAAAGGAAGTAATTTTTGCTTCTGTACTGATCTTTAATTAGCCTTTTAAAGATTCCAGTGGGCATCTGTGCTGGCTAATCTTGAATCAACTTGAAAACAACTAGAGTCACGTCAGAAGGGAACCTCAGCTGGAAAAAAAAGTGCCCACCAGATCATCCTGTATGCAAGCCTGCATTACTTGATTGATGACTGATATGAAAGGGCCCAGTTCACCGTAGGTAGGCCTTGCCACCCCTAGGCAGGCGGTCCTGAGTGCTCTAAAAAAATGTAGGCTGAGTAAGCCCTGAGTAACAGCCAGTAAGTAACCCTCCTCCACGGCCTATGCATCAGTTCCTGCCTCCTGGTTCCTGCCCTGACGTCCCTCTCTGATAAACTGTTGGCCTGGAACTATACATTGAGGCAAACCATTTACTCCTCGGGCTGCTTTTGGTTATGGTGTTTTATCCCAGCACTAGAAACCCTCAAAAGGCAAGAAGGGCTAATAGCTTTCCTCAAGTTTCTGGGGGATAAACATCTGCTCTCCCTACTTGCTTGTGGTAAGAACTAACGGAGATGCTTCTTGGTTTTGACTACAGAGAGGAATAATGTAGGAAGCTTTCAAAAGGTCCTGGTAGCCAAGCTACACCCAAGAATGATGGAAATATAACGAAAGGAGGCTGAATTCAGCTCCCACGTTGTTTGTTTGGTTCATTGTTGTAAGACACAGGGCTGAATCTAGACCCTGTCATTCATTAAGCAAGTGTTCTGTCACTGGAGCTATACCCTGTAACATGAGGGGCCGGCTTGTTGGGGTACCTGTCCTGCCCAGTACCCCACAGCTGGCAAGCCCCAAAGAAAATCACACACAGGACTCCGTAAGATTATAAACTGATTGGTCCATTAGCTCAGTCTTCTTATTAACTAATTCTTACATCTTATAGTAACCCATAATTCTTGTCTGTGTTAGCCATGTAGCTCAGTACCTTTTTCAGCTGTCAGTTCACACGTTGCTTCTTCAGTGATCTGGGCAGAAATGGCAAGGGAGCTTCCTGATTACCAGAATACTCCCATTCTCTTTGCTCCACCTCTACTTCCTGTCTGGTTTCCCCCGCCTATACTTCCCGCCTGGCCAATCAGCATTTATTTGAAATATGATTGACCGATTACAGACAATTCTCCTGCACCAATACCCAAATCCCTTTTCGTCTTCTGTTTTTGTCTTTTGTTTCCATTTCCATGTTTTGTGTGTGTTATGTGCATGTGTGTATGAATGTTTGTATATGTGTGAGTGTGTAAGTATGGCTTCATGTGCATGTGGGTGCACTTTCTCGTGTAGAGCAAAGGTCAATGTCTGGAATTGTCCTTCCTCCTTATTCACTGGTGGAGGCTCTATCAGTCAAACCCAGAGCCTCAAGACATGACTAGTTTTGCCAGCCAGTTTGCACCGGGAATCTCTTGTCTCTGCTTCCGAGGCTGGAATTGCAGATGGGCCACATCCCCACGGGCATTATATGGGTTCTGGGATCCACTCTCTAGTCCGTATGCTTGACATGCAAGCACTTTAACCACTGAGCTATCCCCCACCCCAGCTCCAGCCCTTTTAAACATGTGAGATAGGATCTGAGGTGCACAGACTGGGCTTGAACATACTCTGTAAATTAGGATGGTCTTGAACTTGTACTCCTCTTGCCTCAGCTCCAGAGTATCTGGGATTACAGGCTTTCATTAGTGGGTCCAGTGACGGGTCCATAATTTTAAAGATCCCCCACCAAGCAGCACCCTATGGGAATTCTAACACAAAATCTGGAGGGAACACCAGTAAATTAAGTTCTCTGTTATGTTTTTGGTGGCTTAATTGTTTTCTGCTGATCTAACGAACCAGCATTGTTGGGTTTTAATGCTTTTGTTGTTGTTGTTGTTTTACTCTAACAGATCTATTAAACAGCTCACAAACCCTAAGTGTTATCTCAGCGAATCATCACAAAAAAAAATACACCTGTGTCATCAGAATACAGGTAAAGAAAGAAAATATCTATATGCCATCCAGATTACCCCCACCTCTGGCACCCAAAGGGACTGCGGAGCTGGCGTCTAACACTGGACATTCAGTTTTCTCTCACGTGTTTAACATTTCATTAACTGACCCAGGAAGTATGTATTCTGCATTTGCCACTTTTGGTCAATGTGTTGGTCAGATTCACCTACATACTTTCATTGCTGTATGGACATCATAGTTGACAAAATATATTCTTCCTTTGATTTGATTCACCCAATTCAATGTTAGCAGATGTGGCATAAACCAGGATTGGAAGCATCCCATCCTTGGAGGATTTAACTTGCCCTGCTATGCAACAGCCTTTTGCCAAGAAGAGAAAATCCCTTGGGTAGCCAGAGGTCAAAGAAAGATGTGTGTGCCACAGCTTAGAGCTGAGCCTAGCCAAGTCAAGCTTATGTCAACTAACTCAAACATTCGCAAGAAGTCATGGTTACTACCACTCTATTGGGATGAGTGTTTATTCCAGAGTTTTGAGGTGGACATTGAGGTGGGTATTAGAGGTTTCATTTTATAAAGGCAGTGACTGATGTCCAAACATGAGAACTCACTTAACTGCCTTCATAGAATTTAGATAAAGGCATGGCTCTAAATTAATGGTCAGTAAATATACAAATACCAAATGTAGAAAAGCACCTTTCCTGTTAGCAAGTGACACATATGGCTGTAGAGATGGCTCAGGAGTGGAGAGCACTTTCTACTCTTCCAGAGGACCCAGGTTCAATTCCCAGTACCCACACGGTGGCTCACAATTGTCTATCACACTAGTTCCAAAGGGCACAGTACCTTCTTTTGTCTTCCTGTGGCACTGCGCACACATGGGATACAAGGATATATACAAGCAAACTACCCATACACATCAAATAAAAATGAAACAGACAAAACCCAAATAAAATAAGTGATAAATAAATGCATCAATGATAACTTTTCATATTATCTTATTAGCATAAATAGTTCATTTTACCGGAATGTTAAATGTTAGTCTAACATCTTTTTGCTAGAGTTGTGTGTTAGAATCTATTTCTAAAAGGCTGCTGATTCCAAAACTGTCTTAATAGAGTAGCTTATGGTAATATAAATTTTATGTTAGAAATAAAATACTTATGGACAAATTTCTTATTTTAGATAGGTCCATCAAATTGAGGTGTTTTCTGAATTGACTTTTATTTTAACTGCTTTTGTGTGTCCTGAAATTAATAGCATTATCATCCATAGCTGTCACGGATATTTTCAGTGAATCATAATTATTAAGATCGTGTCACCCTGCTTAGAATCGTGGTAGCTTCAAAATCACAACTAAAACTTTAACAAATCAATCTAAAAGTCCATATGTTGTTAAATCACACATTTGTTTCAATATTTTGATAAATTTTCCCTGATTTATATTTTATGTATTTGAAACTTTTCTTTGATAGTGTGTCCATAGATTTTTCTGGCTTGCAAAAGTGCAAACTATATTATCCTGGGCAAGGCCCTGGGTTCCATCCCTAGTTCTACACACACACACACACACACACACAGAGAGAGAGAGAGAGAGAGAGAGAGAGAGAGAGAGAGAGAGCACTCACAATCATACAGCAACATTTTAGAGAATAGAACCTTTTGAACAAAGACTTTGTTAGAATCTAAACTGCTTTTTAAAGGGTGTGTGTAAAAGATTCTAATAATTTAAAGCCGACAAAAATTGGTAAGTACAGGCAAATTGCACCTAAGGAGAAGAAAACTAAAATCAAACTGTCAAGAGCCACAGGTAACTGGAAATTTGACCAAACTGGAAATATCACTGAATATCACCTATATAAAAGGACATTTTCAAGCATTTATTTTACACTAGGAGATTTTCAGTCTTGTGCTGCTGACATTTAGAGCCGCCTAATTTTTGACACAAGGGCTGTCCTATGTACTGCAGGACACTTAACACCTTCCTTGCTTTCGACCCACTAGATGCATTAGCGCCACTCTAGTATGATGACCAATCATGGCTCTAGAAATTATCCCCCTGAGAGACGGAGCTGCTGCCGCTGAAAATCCACACTTTGCAAGGTGAATTTGCTCATGTGTTACAAGTCTCTGTGTGTGTTTCTGTATGAGCACATATGCGTGTGCTGTGTCCACATGGAGGCTGGAGGTAGAAAACTAGTGGTATCTTTCACTTTTGCTCACCACCTCTTCTTTTGATACAGGATCTCTTCTTGAACCCAGCATTCATCAGCCGCCTAGACAGCAAATCCAGGGATCTGCTCGTCTCTGCGCTCTGAGTGCTGTTATAGTGCCACTGTGCCCAGATTAATATTTGCTGGGTTTTTTTTTTTTTGTGTGTGGGGGGGGTTCCAGATATTCCTACTTAGGTCTTCATGTTTGTACAGTGGGCACTTTACTGACTGAACCATCTCCCCCTGATAAATGTAAGAACACGGTTTATTTAGAAAACGGACAGGAACATAATTTACCACTTTCTGGTAAGTCATTGAACAACTATTTAGCACGCTTCCCACTGTGTGCTTAGGTTTTTACAAAACACGGACGTTGTGACAGCCTACAAAGGAGGAAATGGTTATTACAATGAGATCCACTTCATTTTGCTGACTTTGCTTGAGGAAAGCTCTATCTTGCTATCACTCTGTGATTTCTCTTTTCTCAGTCTGATATATAGCAATGGCATGTACTTGATACTGTTATTATTATTTTTAGAGCTACCTGGCTGATAAGGTTCCTCAGGGTCAGCAGGTGTCCATGGATAGCAGCATCGTGCAGAGGTGACCAATCAGACACGACATCTGCATGGAAAGAGAGGAATGGGTTACATCATGCTCACGTGCTGAGTGAAGGAAGCCAAGCACCAAAAACAAGTCCAACATGATCTAGCTCCTATGCAGGAAATGAAGAGGAGACCAGTGGTCACCAGAGGCGGCGGGGGGGGGAGTAGGATGAGAGAAAAGATAAGGAAGATTGATTAGTGGATACTAAATCACTCTTTGAGAGAGGAACAAAACACTATGGCCCACTGCTCCTTGGATTTTAAATAGCATCTGCCTGATACAGGTATCAAAAAGCTATAAAGCTGTTGATATTTTAGCATTAAGAAACAATCAGTGCTTGAAGAGACAGATATCCATAACATGGTTTCAACATGGATCAAGCCATTACCCAGTACCTCATAAATGCATACAGGTTTTGGTTTTATACATCGTTTCAAAACAACTCTGATTTAAATTACTACTTTAAAGAGGCAAGCTGCAATGACAGGTAGATGACTGAACTCCCATTTTCATACTGGCTTCAAAGGCAAAGGAGTCATTTAGTGACGTGAGAGGTTTGCTAATTACCAGCATTAGCGAGTTCAGCTGTGGTTGCCAGTCTCACTTCCTGCACGAAACACAAACTTAGACATCTCAGCAAACAGTAGCATGCACTAATAGTAGCAATCATATAATTACATACACCATTAGGCTTGGAATCCAATCTAGGTAAACCTGTATCTATTTGTAGGCTACCGTCTGTCCCAATATTAAGCACAAATCAGAATTCAGTCTAACCTTGAAATTGTGACATTATTTGTGGCCCTCCCCTCTAACAAATGTCCTAATGTGATTAAAAGAACATTGTGAATTCTGACCCAGGAGACCTCTTCTGAACAGCAGCCCCCTGAACAAACTCTGACGCTCGGTTTAATTTTGGGTAAAGACAGAAATATACTTACCCATGGCTCAATACATATTAGCTACTATTATTATCTTGTCGTGACACTAAACAGTGTCTTGATTACAGTCCGTAAGCATTGCATTTAAAACAGCAAACGTGGTCTACTCTCATTCAAGAGGAATACAAATTTTCAGGAAAGAAGCCCGTAAATCCTATCCAACACAGTAAGCTTTCCTCTGCCCGTCTAATTAAGTATAAATATAATTGAATGCGGCATAGACCAGATTTGTTTCTCATCTCAAGCTGCATCTGATTTCCAGAACAACCAGATGCAGGAAGCTACAATGGGGGAGGGTTTGCCTGAGTCGGCATCGACTCCAAGCTCTGCCTTGCTTTGATGAGCACACAACACGCAGGCAAGGTGCAGCTTTCTAATGCTCCTTGCTCCTTGCATGGGCACTTAAGGGCTGTTAAAGGCTGAGAGAGCCTGAGAGCAAGGGGAATTGCTAATGCCTGGCAGACTGAAAGACCACGAAGGGGAAGACAAGAACACTTTGTACCTAACACGTGTTAGCTGAGGGCTGCCTGCCACCTGGAGCCATCAGTGCCCTGGCAAATCTGTCCCATTGAGCAAATTACCATCCTTGCAGATGGACTCATTAAGCATTTAGTACATGAAAGGACGCCGTGTGGGCCGCCTACATGCAGCCCAGCCAGTGCTTTCGTACTGGGGTCACTAAGGTCTGGAGACAAAACACCTTAAGGGAAATGGCTTTTCCTAGCTCCAAAATCTTGAACTAGGTACCTATCCTCACAGCATTCACAGAGGTTCCGCATTCTCACAGGAATCGCATTATCACTTCTAGGGAGTTTTAATTTCAGATTATAAATACAGAAAGGTTGGATGCTGAATTAAAATAACACTGCAGGTAATCCCATCCTTTGGATGCTGATCATGGAGGACACCATTCACAGAACACTCTCAGCGAGAAAAGACATTATCTTGAGGATGGTTTTGAAAAGTAGTTTTAGTGCATGTGCAACTGGACACCAATGACTGAGTGTGACATGATTAGCTTATTTTTTTTTCTTCCAAGCACTCAGATGCTAAGAAATACAGTTGTCAAAACCCTCTGCATTTTCAATGCTGTCTAAGATTATTATATTTGACAGCCTAAACAGTCCAGGAAGGTCATTTAGGGCCTAAATTACATCTCTGTCCAGATGTCATTAAAGTGTTGCAACTATATTATTAACTGAAGGCCCCAAACTGGGTCTCAGTTCCTACTTAGTCATCAAAGAAACATTATTCCTCTTTGTTACAGCAAATACAGATTGATGCTCCTCCCCCAAGACCAAAACCAAGTCTAATGGATGCTTTGAAACCATGCAGAATTCAGCATTTATGCAACAGAGACAGCCTGCATCTTTTAGAAGTATAAAATATGATTTGAGAACACACCACAAGGCTGACAATACTAATATCTACATCTGGTTAGTTAGTGAACATCTTCATTGAGCTAAAACTTACATATGATCTGCCCATTGGAAGTATATATAACCCAATGCTTTTAATTATAAATACAGAATTGTGCAACCAACACCACAATCGATCTCGGGCCATTTTCATTACCTTGTGAAGAAGCCTCACGGCCATTAACATTCACTAGATATCTGCACCTGCCCCAACTCCTGAAAACTATTGATCTGTTTCTTGTCTTTAAGGATTTGCCTATTCTAGACAGTTCTTCTAAGTGAAATTGCATGTTATGTGGTTCTTTGGAACTGACGCCTTTAATTCAGTATGCTCTAAGCTGCGTCCACCCTGTAGCATGTATTAGCACTTCATCCCGTCTTTAGTCAGATAACTATTGTTATAGATAGACTACATTTTATTGACTCATTCACCAGGTGAAGCAAATTTGTGTTGTTTCCACTTTGGGGCTAGAAATAATGTTGTTATAAACATTCTTGTCTACCTTTGGGATAGATGTATATTTTCAATTGTTTGTGTCTACCCGCCCCACACAAAAATGAGACTTATGTTTAGCCTCTTGAGAGTACTTTCCAAAGTACTTTCCAAATCCTACCATGTATTTCCATCAACAATAGACAGGGGTTACCCTTCTAACTCCAAAGCCATTTTGATATAACATTTGTTAAGCTCGTGCTTCTGCCCAGAAGAAAAACATAGGTCTAAGCTTAGCCTAAACCTTTCTTAAGTGCATACGAGGCCTCTACTCTTAGCATATCTCAGAACAGCGGAGTATGTAAAAACCTAAATATTGATACTGGTAAGAGTAACACATTAACACTTTTCTAGCATTGACACAGCACAGACTACACATGCAAGGGGGAGGAAGGGAGAGATGGAAGGAGGGGATGAGGGGGAGAAAGTGAGGACAAATCAAACACCATCATGTTGCAGCATAGAAATAATCCACACACCCTTTGCTCTATAAAACACGGGAAGGAAGGCTAAGTTTTGTTCCGTGTGACAGTCAACTCAGGAAAGACCTAGAACACCCTTCTCCAGGAGTTTCCAAGACACATGTCTGAAGTAAGCAATGAGCTACAGGCTCAATGTATGGCCCATAAAATCCGAAGGCAACCTCACCCACTTCCTGACAACTGTCAACTAGAAAGAACAGAACAAGCAGAAGAGGGGACTATGTTCCTATCAGACCATGGACGGTGGTCCTGGTAGAAGACTATCCATGAGATAACGGGGAGACTCAAGGCCACAATACCTCTTTTACATCAACTCCACCACAGTCTTTGAAATTCGAGAGTCATTGTACGCAACAGATTGTACACACTCTTGGCATATTGAATACTCATTAATAGCATTTGTTCAACTATGGTCTATATCTGGTTTTACAGCCAAAAACAAAATGGATGCCAAATGAGGTCGCTGATAACAGCATGGATCCAGCATTGTAGCTTATGAGTGAACTAACGCTGGAAACACTCAAGACAAAACTACTCCACGAGTCCTCCAATTAGTGCCATTAAACTTATCCGAGAAAAGGAGAGCGTCTCTATCAAGCCCGTGGCACATTAGGAAGGTTGTCGTTTCACTGTTATTGTGCTTTCTGGAACAATTTCTAAGATTTCCATTATTTCAGGAGAGATTTAAAGTGCACTAATTGCTGCATTCTGAAAAGAGCTATTAAAAAAGCTCAAAGAACTCTGGTAAATGTGGGGCAGGAGCATAAATCTGTCCACGTTAGGAAACATCTCACAAGGTCAAAAGTGGGAGGAGGGAGTTGCTCTAAAGAGACTGGAGTATCTGGAACGTGGCAAAGGCAGATTTGGTGGCATGAGCCCATACTACAGCATTGGAGAAGAATTCTGATTATGGGAGGGTGGAGCGAACATGAATCCTGTTGGGCAAGATGGTCATATCTATTCCATCCATTATCCACCCCCTTTTCCTCCCCTCTTCCCCTCTTCCCCATCTCTGGACCCTCCTCCCTTCTGCTCTCCACAATTTCACACTATTGCCTCTTCTGTTTACACAGAGAGGACACCCTCGGAGCATCCTCTGCCAAGTTGCCACAATATCTTAAAGTAACCAACCCATCGGCAGAGAAAAACTACGTCCTTTCTATGTGCATTCTTGCCTGCTTTCTGCTTAAATGTGAAAATTCTCTTCTAATAGGATGGGTTCCATCTTGTAAAGAAAGAATTCCCTACAGATGTATGAGCTTCCTGTCTAACAAACAAATGAAAACCCACTTGTGCCAGAGAGAAGGCTCAGCAGGTAAAGATACTTGCCACCAAGCCTAATGGCCTGAGTTTAATCCCCGGGGTCCACGTGGTGGAAGGAGAGACCCAATGCCCACAAATTGTCCTTGGGACCTCCACAGGCACACACTCACACACATACAAAAGTACTAAATCTAAAAAAATATGTTGCTTTAAACTTATGGAGAGATACTAATAAATGGAGGATAGATGGAATTAGGGAGGTTAATTTTCCCTTCAATGTACTTTGTGAAGTGTTTACAAGCAATGTGAGTTAGTTTCCTAAAATTCTGTGACAAACTACATCAAACTAGGTGGCTTAAGACAATTGGAATGTATTCTCTTGCTGTTGTCGAGGCTGGGAGTCTAAATGAAGCCTGACAGTTTCAGCAAGGACACGCCCTTTCCAAGTCTCAGGAAGGAATCCCTCCTCTCCTTCTCTAGCTTCTAATACTGGACATCCATCCTTGGCTTCCCTTGGTTCGTAGATGCCTTCCTTTAATTTCTGCCCCTGCCTCATATCAGTCTCTCTGAATGTTCCCTCTCCTTTTCTTATTGAAACACCAGTCTTCAGGGATTAAGGATCCAAGCCATGCCAGTGAGGCTTTGTTTTAGTGATTATACCTGCAGCCACTCAATTTATCAATAGCAGTCTCTTCTTGAAGTGCAAAGCCAAGTTAGGATTTCAAAGTATCTTTTGGGAGGTACAACTCAGTTCCTAACAAAGTACTTTCAGGGGAGGAATGGTATTCTTTCCCTGTCCCTGGGACAGCAAACTCAAGCATTAACTAAATCTCTGGAAAGAACTGGCTCTCCATCTTCCCATCCTTTTCTCCCTTCCTTGAGAGAAAGGAGCAGAGAAAAGGACTCCTACCCGGTCCTAGACTTCCCTCTGATGTGTCCTTGAGCCAGCTGGTACCTACAACTGAGCTGAGTGTCTTGGAGCCAACTTTGGAAACAACATTCTGAATGTTCCTCATTCCACACTTTACCAAGGTCAAGGCCTCAGAAGTGTAAACAAATGTAACAAGTTACTGCTGTGGGGTGGTTTTTAACCCCTGGTGCAAAGCAGAGAGCAAAATATGTCTATTAGGGAAGAGGGGGAAAAAACCTAGGAGGGCTGCATGGGTGCAATGGTTCTGTTGGGTGTGGAAGGTGGGAGGGAGTTTGTCATCCTGGATCAAAGAAGGAGGAGGTAAGCAAGCAGCTATGTCCAAGTGTCTGGGCATCTATCCTGTGATTCTTGTGTCTTTGAAAGCTGCTAACCCTTTAGGCTGCATGGACTAGTAGCATCAGAAGTCCCATTCTGCTTTTCTGCTCAACTTAATGATTCCACATCCTTGATGCCCCCAGGTGCCAGTTCTTGGCCACTGGAAAATTTCTCCATTCCCTGGGTTTCAGCCACAAGCCCTCCGCAGAACATTCTGAGGCTTCTTGTACTCAACCTGCATTCATTTCCAACTTTAGCCCCCATAGCATCAGGCTTTGTGGATTCATTCGTTTCTGTCCAAAATAGAACTCTGGCGAGCTAGGGAGAGTGTCAACTTATTAAAAAGCGTGCCACATAAGAATGAGGACATGAGTTCAAATCCACAGCATCCACATTAAAAAAAAATTCAGCAATGTGTCTACAATCCCAGTGCTGGGTGATGGTTGTGAAGAGAATCCCTGGAGCTCTCTAGCCAGCCGTACTTAATTGGCAAGCTCCAAGCTCAGTGAGAGACCATGACCCAAAAAAATTAAGGCAAAGAGAGTATTTAATGATGACACACAACACTGACCTCTGACCTTCGCACACACATACATGCATATATACATGCACACCCATATGTACGCATACAGGAACATGGACATATAACATAGCTAGAGGGAGAGAACTCTGCATCCTTCGTCACCCCACTCCAAAGCCAGCACCCTTTCAAACTTGCCTCTTATCTAGCTCTGTCAAACCTAACTGAGGTTGAAAACGTCACAATTTAGGATGCTTTCTCTTGGTTTGCCACAATAGTGCATCAAGCTGCACAATATGATTTCTCTTTTCTTTAAAATTAAAGCCTTTTCTCCATCTTTTCTTTAGTCTGACCTAGGTATCAGCTATATGCTGGGATTTGTACCGTGGTTCTTTTAGTTTTAAGGGTTTTTTGTTTTTCTGAGACAGGATTTCACTGTAGCTTTGGAACCTGTCCTGGAACTAGCTCTTGTAGACCAGGCTGGCCTCCAATTCACAGAGATCCGCCTGCTTCTGCCTCCCGAGTGCTGGGATTAAAAGAGTATGCCACCACTGCCTGATTTTGTGCAGTGGTTCTTAAAGCATGGACCCTGACAATCCCTGTCAGCATCACTTAGGACCTGTTGAGAATGAAGATACCCAGACTTCACCGCAGTCCTATCACTTCCTCAGAAGCAGTGTCACCCTTCCTATTAGCAACTCTTCTCAGATGCTGAGGGATGTGGAACCAGTGAACTAGTTTGTTGCCATAATCTATCCTAACTTGAAGTTATTAACCTATCCTAACTTGGAGGCATTAATATACTCATAGTCTTCATTATCAACAGGTCTCTGCTTCAGAACCATCAAGGACTTCCAGTTCCCCAACTCGCAAAGCCTAAACCACTTCACATAGCTTTGAAAGCTTTCTCATCCAGTGGCAGTGGAGATGGCTCAGTGAATAAACTGCCTTCTAAGGATCTGAGTTCAGATCCCCAACATCCAGGGAAAAAGCCAGGCATGGGAGCAGACACTTTTATCCCCAGTACTAGAGGAGCAAGGACAGCACATCCTGGGGGCTCACTGGCCATCCAGTCTTGCCAAAACGTATACTCCAGGTTCAATGAGAAACAGACAGTCTCCAAGGAACAAGATAGAGAGCAGTAGAGAAATATACCCAATGTTGGCCTGTGCCCGCCACCTTCACATGCAGGTATATAGTGCATGCACTCACTTTCATGTTCACACACACACACGTGTGTGCTTCATCATCCAGTTCCGTCTCTCCAAATTAATTCTCACAAAATTGACTCCAAGGTACTCCCGTCCTAGCTGGAACAGCCGGCAGCATATCGTCTTGGAGAAAGTGGCTAGTTCTTCTCCCCACATACAAACAAATCTAAAAGCAGAAGCCTCTGCTGTGGAGTGACTGTTCAGAATGCTCCTGAATTCGCCGTTTCCAACAACGAGAGGATCCGTGCTTTATAGTTATCAACCCCCCCTTTTTTTGACAGTGAATCTCAATGCCACTCGACCTCCCTACTACTCCTAGTGTGTGCTCTATACATTCTAATAAATTCAGCTCTGTCTTCGTGTATGGATGCTCTGCTCAGCACTGAGGGCTGACACAGTTTGCAAGGAAAATTGCAAAGAAGAATGTGCAGGCCTCCTCAATCAGAGATGGAAGGCATCTGTGCTGTCTACCTTCTATCGTTTTCCCTTTACATACCGGGGCAGAAAGACAGTATTAAGTCCTAGGGGACTTTAGAACCCCTGTTTATTGTCCTTCTGGTAGACAAGTGTTTTGGGCAGCCCACCAGTGAACTGAATGTAATACTGTCTCCTTGAACGGTTAGGCCCAGAATTGCTTCATCTTGAACCTGCTGAGTGCTAACAGAGGAGTGACAGCGAGTGACTTCATGAGACTCTCCACCAACCAACGTGCAGTGTGTCACTCAACAGGTGCATTTCACACCTGTGGGAAACCCTTCAGTATTTTCTAAGTCTCCTTTCTAATGTCAATCAATCAGCCAGCATCCCTGACAAGCCCAGCCTCACCAAATATGAAATGTCTAGGAGAATTTTTAACAAAAAGAAGTGTTTTAGCAATTTAAATGCTCCTATAGGACCCAATAATGGTGATGCACATATACATGCATACATACACACACACACACACACACACACACACACACACACACCTGTAATCTCAGAACTTCAGAGGCTGAGACAAGAGGATAATGAGTTTAAGGCCAACCTGGACCGCACAGGAGACCAAACCCCTGCTGTTTATAAGTAACTCTTCAACCTCCTATTTAATAAGTAATACATCTAACCCACAAAAGAATGATTCCTTGCTGCAAAACTTTTCACCTAGAAAATGCCCCTAGATAATTCAATTTTGTTTCACCTTTATGACTCTACAGATAAAGGTAGATTTTTAAATAACCACATTAGGGATGCAGACTAGGACCCTATGGATGAACGTCTATCTAGTAGCTGCCCTATGGGTATCCCACAGAAAGACCCACTGACATAGTCAATATCTCTTCTCTCTCCTGACATTAGCCAATCTCCCGAGCACTCCGAGTTCACGTCTTCCATGACTCACCCCCCATCAATGGGTTTGAAAGGAATCTGAGGTGAGGAGAGCCTCCTGGCTTGTCACTCCTGCCCCCTTGTTCACCGTCCATGGTACTCTCGTAGGCCAGCAAACTCCGTTCCACTTCAGTTGCTCAGGAAAACCCGAACGACATGCTCCTGGTGTCCCTGGGAATTTCCAGTTCTGTGGTTGGCTGAACTGCACACGTCCTGGTCCAGGCAGTCTGCAGCAGAGAACAGCACAGGCAGGGCTATGTGAGTACTACCTGTGGTCAAACAGATTCGACACATACACACACACACACACTGCATACCACACATGCATACACACACACGTACACTCCACCTAGCAGGCTGGAGACTGGCCAAAGTCCACAACAGCCCCCCCCAGACCTCAAGTCTGCAAAGCTGCTGATGTCACGCCCCTTTCTTTTCTAAACTGAGACCAATCAGGGAGCAAGCTTTAAAGTTTATAGAGAAAGAAATTTATACTTTGTAACTTTTGGATAGTGAAGGGAGCTGGGTGGCTGTGTAGGAGGCCGCTGTTCAAACTCCTGAGATCTGTTTGCTACTTCAGGGCGTCTCAGACAAGCCCCAGCATCCAAGAACCGAGACAGCTGCTTTTGCAAGAGCTCAGAGGAACTGCTCGCATGGACCATGTACAGCCCAGCCTGGCCATCTGCACATGTGGTTTCAATTTTGCTGGGAGTGTCTTATGGAAAAATGTGTCTGTATGTTACAAAAATGCAAGGGGTAGAGGTGGAGAGGGACAGAAAGGACTTGCTTTCCTCTTTGGGGGGCTGCAAGTTCATGCCATGTCCTATGTTGCCCTTCCTGTACACACTTTAGTTTTACCTGTATATAACTGCTGGGTGGCTGAGGTTAGAGAAATGGATCACAGGTGTGAATGAGACCCACTGTCTTTCAATTGCCGGTTGGGAAGAGAGCTGTTTTGTTAAGGTCCGCTCAGTTGGCCGACACGAGGATTTAGGCTTTCAGTACAAGTGACTTTTCTATTTCCACTTTTCATCCCGGGTGCTGGTTCCAGGCAATCACTCATATGGCCACCGTCAATGGGTTTGAAAGGAGCCTGGTGTAAGCAGAGCCTCCTGGCCTCAGTGGCTTGCTGCTTTTCCTGCCCCGCATCTATTCACCATCTGTGACATTCTCCGGCACCAAGAAACTACATGCTCCACATCACTTGCTCAGGAAAGATCCCCACTTTCCTTCTCCTCCAGGTTGAAGAGACTATCTTATCCCCAAAAGTCTCTGAGCTACTCTCAAGGACAGGCTGGCTTCCAAACGCTAGAGATTTGTTTGTTTGAGATGTTTGGGTTCTCAGTTGAAACATTTTGTAACTAGTTGTAACCACTGCGTGCTGTTTGTTTGCTTTTTCAGATAAAAGATGGCTCTGTGGTTCAGGCTGACCTTGAGCACACTGTGTACGTAGTCAGGCAAGCCTCTAACCAGTAGCAAACCTGCCTCCACATCCAGAGTGCTAAGATTACAGGTGTGCATTGTGGCACCCGGCGGCATCCTTCATATTTTTAATGCATTTCTGTGCATACGTACACTTACCCTTGTACGTCTTTAGTAATTTTACTATCATCCTGTCCTATAGATTTTACTTTTAGTCTGGAAAGCTTTCTATTGTCCCATATATAGATATATTCATTTCTTTATTCTCCACTGCATTTGACATTGTGATAAAAGTATTTCCTTGTGCCTGGTGGTCATGGTACATGCTTTTAATGCACGTGGGAGGCAGAGGCAGGTGGATCTCTGTAAGATAAAGGCCAGACTGGTCTACAGAATGAGTTCCAGGACAGCCAGGGTTACGCAGAGAAATCCTGTCTTGAAATATAAAAAAAGAGCATTTCCTTGTTCCCCAATGATGCTAGCAGGATGTGACCATTAGGACTGTGAGATACACATTGTAAGCAGTTTCTGCACACATTGTTTTGGGCCTATCTGCAAGCTTCTCTAGTGGAGAGATTCCAAAGAATGGAAATACTAACTAAAGATTACATTCTTATGGGGCTGGAGAGAACCAGAGTTTGGTTCCCAATGTCCACATCAGGCAGTTCACAACTGCCTGCAACTCTCATAGGTTGAAAGGTCCGAGTCCACTTCCGGGTTTGAAAACCTGCCCAACCCCACCAATCTCTGATCTCATCCCTGAGCTCAAACCCACCAATCCTGAGCTCAAAAACCCATCAATCCCTGAACTCAAACCCACCAGTCCCTGATCTTGAAACCCCGCCAGTTCTCGGGTTTGGCTTGAAATCTCACCAATCCCTACTCTGGAAATCACCCTGGAGAACTCCTCCCCAAAGAAAGCCTACATTAGCCTACCTCCTGCTCAGTTCCCTGTTGCCTGAGCAGATGTAGGCACCCTCATGCATCTTTCTCAATAAATCTCCTACATGAGGTTTGATATGTGTGACATGACTTTGTAGTATTCCTTGGCCCCCAACTGCCAGGATCCCTTTCCCTTCAGAGCTGTAACACTTGTGTTGGAGAAACCTTTCCCCTCAGAGCTGTAACCCACCCCCAGCTCCAAGGCCCTGTTCTCGCCTCTCTTGTCATTCATGTTCAAATACCCACACATAGACACACATATACATCTAAATTTAAAAACTTAAAAATAAATCTTTTTAAAAGTATGTTCTTACACATATAATAAATTAAATGAAACCAAAGACATACACATACATAGCTGGACACAAGTAAATATAGGAAACTTAAAAAGATCAGTAGATTACATGAATGTTTTCTTTTTTTTCAGCACGTATGTGTATGTTGTGTGTATGTTGTGTGCATGCATGTGTTCATGTGTGGGGGTAAATGTATATGTGTGTACATGCACATATGGAAGTCAGAGATTGACGTTAGGTACCTTTCTTGGTTGCTTTGCATTGGTTCAGAGTCTCCCACTTGAACCCAAAGCTCATCAATTCAGCTAGGGTTGACAGTCAGCCTGCGCTAGGGATCCTCTATCATCACCTACCAAACACTGGAAGTACAGGTAAACCTCCATATCTGCATGGGCTTTATATGTGAGCTGGAGATCTGAACTCAGATCCTCATACTTGTATGACAACCACATTACCCAATGAGCCATCTATCTGCCCGGGCCATGGATGTTGACTTCCGATGGGGATGTGTTACCATACCATCGCAAAGAGGTCTCATCTTCCCACTGAGGCAGGCTCGGTGCACAGGAGAGCTTGTTTCCTTATTTCTTGGAACTATACATGAAGCTGTAATTTTCTCAATAAAAGTTTTAGTTTTAAAGAGTGGCTGCTCATTGAAAATTGGGATAAATGCAGCCAAAATGCTTACCATCTCTGGTTTCAGAATTTACAGGGAAGGTGGTACGCATGCAAATCTTCCAGTGCTGTATCAGCAGAGACATGCAGAACAGTAAACGGATTTGGCAGAGAGTGAAAAGTTTACTTCCAACATAGAAGGCCGAGGAGGGGTTTAAACAGAGGGCTATCTTGGGGCAGCTGGATACTATTACCATCTGTTCCCACTAAAATCTTCAGAGTCCAACTTTCTTGCATTTAATTCAGTTTGAATAAGATGCTATTTTCCCACAGTCAAATCTAAGTTTCAAAATGGCAGAAAAGAACATTTCCAGGTTGTCGCACTTGGGAAGGAATTTACCAGCATTGAATCCTCTCATTGTATTTACTATGATAGGCACTGCTAGCAAATAAGATGGGAGCTGGACTTCCAACTGCTTGATAATAGTTCCCTACAAGAAAGCTGCATGCATTTTAGAGATCTATTATGATAAAAAATTGAACTGCATACATACATGTATGAGCTATGACTATCGAAAATAAGATGACTGACCATAAGCCATAAGAGATCAATAGTGTTAGTAAGTCATAGTGAGCCCTTGTGCCCATCAGTGTATGTGTGTACCTGTGTGTGTGTGTGTGTGTGTGTGTGCACGCGCGCGCACGCGCTTGCACGTGCGCATGTGCTTATGTTCAGTGAAATTTGGCAGGGTCATACTCATTCCTTCCAAGTGGCATTGTTTACAGGAGATGGTGTCTGTGCCCCCATCTTCACTTAGATAATCAAATCACATCTCACTTACAGATTACTAGCTCATTTACCTCTGAGAATATGGGGGTTCTTGAAAGTCACCACCAACGGCTCACCCCTGAAATCTCAGGTTGGAGGAGGCTGAGGTGGAAGGATTCCCACATTCGAGGCCTGAATTGGCTATTTAGTAAGTACGAGGTCAAGACTGCATAGCAAAGTCCTATCTCAAGATCGAAGAAAAACAAATAGACATAAGCTGGGACTGAAGCTGAGGAGCAGGGGAGCCTTCTAATCAGTCAAGGTTGATGCAGAAGCAATCAGCCAGCAATGTTCCTAGTGCAAATCCTTTAGGCACCCAGAGGCACTCGACTTCTCTAATTTGGAATTACCTGCTTCTCGGCAAAGTTTCTATCATTCTGTTGTTGACAAAAGTGCTGCAAGCCGAGAACTCTGGTGTTTCTTTAGACAGCACTCAGCCCTTCCTGTCCGTGAAGGAGTACCATAAGAGTCAAACAAGAACATAATTTTAAATAACATAATGGAGTATTCTTGAGGTGAACTCAAATGGTAAAATTGCCTATGTAACCCTGGGACTGGACTCTTAAAACTGTACCAGTAGGTCTGTTCTGTTTCGTTTAATTTAATAACCAGCGAGGTTGCTTTGTTCTACATGTACGTGCATGGATGTGAAACCAGAGAAGGAAGGGCATAGGGGAAGAATTGGAGGAAAAGGAGAGTCAATTGGATCCAAAAACATTATATTCCTGCATGAATGTTTAAAAAAGTCACTGCATAAAAGTTAAGAAAAGATAAAAAAAATGTTTGATCATAAAAAAGCAAGGGCGCAAAAGACAGAAGTGAAAATGAAGAGCTTTCTAGAATAGAGAAGAATAAAGATTCTTGATGACTGACTGATCTTTAATGGAATCTTGAATGGTGAAACAAGACAGAAAAAGCGTAGTGTCCCAAACGTGGAAGGGTACATCTGCCTGCGGGGTACACTGTAGCGCACCGTATCTTTCCTCCTCCCTCTCATTACTGCTCTGAGGTCTGGGAGAGAACCTCTGGGTTCTTGGGAAACATATTATGGAGTACTGGGGCAGAGCTAGATGAGACTGTAAGGCCAAGGAAGAAGTGTGCCAGCTCCACTCCTTCCACACGTAGGAAAAGGTTGATGAATTCCCTCTCCCTGGAGCAACAACCTGGGATCTTCTTTACTGTCATTTGGGAATATAAATGTGACTCTGCACATTGCACAATAATGAAGAATCATAAATAACAAACAACAGCCTATCTTGCTTAAGTTATTTTTTATATTTTGATTATTGTAGGTTCTTTGCTTTAGTATAGAATTTTTTAAAAAAAACTATACTATAGAATTTACCTTGGAAATTGGCTTCTTTTTTGTTCCCACTTAGATATGTGAGATGGCTCAGCTCATAAAAGGTGATTGCTACCAAGCTTGATGATCTGAGTTCAATCCTAGCGAACCACACTGTGGAAGTAGGAAAACAACTTCCAGCAAGTTGCCATATATGGCAGGGGGTGCATGCATGTGCATGTGTGTATACAAGTGAGAATACAAACACGAAATAAATAATTGCTTTTCAACCTCTATTTTTTGCCCCCTCACCTTTTCTTAACCCTAGCTGTGGTGAATGATCCTAATGTCTGCAACTTACAAATAGTTCAGAATGATCCTAATGTCTGCAACTTACAAATAGTTCATTTAAAATATATGTATAAGTACTAATATATATATATGTTTACATATGTGTTTATATGTGTTATATATATGATTCTACATATATTATGCAGAGGCGTGTATGTATGTGCATATGTATATGGAGTTGCATATATGTGTTTTATGCATTTATGAATACATCTGGAGAAGCCACCATGTTAAAATGAAAACATTTAGTGAAGTAAGGTAATGAATCCAAAGACATTTGTTGAGTTATCCTTGCAATTCTTGTGCAAGCTAGAAGCTTCTCAAGATAGCATTGTAGGTGTGGGTGAGATAGCAAAATTGATAAATAGAAGTTAAAACCTGGTACACATTCTTCACAAGTTAAACTGGTTAATTTGTGTGACCAATGTATTCATTGTGATATGAGATTGTCTAAAGAAAGGGTAAAATACATTCTGCATTCAAGCAAGTGCAGACCTTGGCCGTTATTTGCTGTGAAAAAAAAAATGAAGTCCTTCAGTATGAAGAACATCTGCCTCGGATATACTGTGTCTAGTCTGTAATTCCTTCCTCAGCATGGCAGCTTCAGGCCATATTTCTGAAATGCTGAAAAAAAAAGCTATGCTGTTTGCATCCAGTGCATGTATGTTCTCCATGATGAACATTGTTACCACAAATAAAGCAATCATACATGAACCCATCTGCACTTGCAGATACACTATTAGAAGTATGGGGGGCAAGAATGACTTTAGGAGAAACACATTATGATTGCTAATATGGTCAAATTCCTAGGGATTATAAACAGTTAGAGGACAAGGTTCTGGGCCTGTGTATGAAGGAGCTTCTAGACTGGGTTAACTGAGACAGGAAATCCGCCCAAATGTGAGCAGCACCATTCCCCGATTAGAGTCCTGGGCTGAATGAACAACATGACGAAAGTGAATGGAGCAGCAGCATCTACCTCTTTCTGCCAAGCCTTTGCTCCCATACTGCGCTGTCTCAAACTGTGAGTCAAAACAGTTCCTTCCTCCCTTACGTTGTTTTTGTTAACTTATTTTACTAAAGCAACCAGAAAAGTAGCTAACATATACATCTTCAATAAAATGTGAACAAAATATTAGAGATGTTGAATGAACTCTGCAAATGTGCGAATGAATAACTTCAAGATCTTGAAAGCATTGGGATTTAAAACCATCAAGGAATACTGGCAAACTTCCTTTTAAAAATAATATGGTTCTGGGCATAATGGTGCACACCTTTAATCACCACACTCAGGAAGCAGAGGCAGGCAGATCTCTGTGAGTTCAAGGCCAGCCTAGTCTATAAAACAAGCTCCAAGACAGCCAGAGATATATAGAGAGACCCTGCCTAAAATAATAATAGTAATAATAATAAATGTAGCAATACAAATAGTGAATTACTTAATCAAATAAATGAAAGGCATATCAGATGTATATCTACATAGATATAGACAGATATTTATCCATATGTATATACATACATGCATATAGAGAGAGATAGGTAATATCAGGTTATGAGAAGCTTTTCCCCACTGTTAAAAATGTACCTTAGTGATACAGTGCTTCCCTAGCATCCACGAGGCATTAGTATTCATCCCTAAGTCTGAAAAATAACTTTTTCCCTGAAAATTATTCTTTGTGCATACATTTAAATTTTTAACTATTGCTTTAATTATTTTAATATGTAAAGCTTACATCTATAAAATGCAAAAGAAGTTGTCTTGGTCAGGGTTACTATTCCTAAGATAAAACATCATAAACAAGCAAGTTGGGGCGGGAAAGGTTTGTTTGGCTTGCACCTCCATATCACTGTTTGTCATTGATGGAAGTCAGGACAGAAGGCAAGATTTGATGCAAAGACCGTGAAGGAGTGTTGCCTACTGGCTTGCTATCTTATAGAACTCAACCTGCTATCTTATAGAACTCAGGACCATGATCCCCGGGATGGCACCATCCTCGGTGTTACCACCACATCAATTGCCAATTAAGAAGATGTCTTACAGGCTTGAAACAACCTGATATTATGATGGCTCCCTCTCTGAAGATTGTAGTTTGTGTCAGGTTGACATAAAACCAGCCAGCACATAAGTCCTTCAAATACTGTGTTGAACAAAGCAAACACAGATTTATAAAGTAAAAGACCGAAAGCTGGAGTGTTGTGATCCAGCTGCCCTCACTCCCCCTGACCAGCAAGGAAACTTCCTTGTGGTCTGTAATTGACAAGGATGTTTGTGTTCTTTCTGGACCGTGGGGCTCCACAGAAGGAGTAGAGGTTTAAAAGGTTGCTGGGTAAAGTAAAGGTTGCTGTTCTTCCACCTGAAAAGAAGAGTCCGTGTCTCAATCCTGGTACCCCCCACCCCCCCCCACCCCGCCAGTCTTAGCTATCCAGGCTATCCAGGCTGCACAGGCCGAGGCACTGGAGAAGTTCTAAGGAAGAGATATTATCCTTCAAACACTTTTTTTTAAAATTATGAAGAGGTAAGAGCTGGAGAGACGGCTCAGAGAATGCACTTGCTGCTCTTGTAGAAGACCTGGGTTTGGTTCCCAGAACCCACATTGCCAACTTGAAACTTACTCCAGTTCCAGAGGATTCAACCACCTTCTCTGACTGGCACGAGAACCAGGCAAACACATGGTACACATACATACACACAGGCAAAACACTCACACCCATAAATATCTTTTTATTTTATAGAAATAAAGTTTATGTCAATATTATCTATGATAAAAGTAAATTAGAACTAATCTAAACAGCTAACAGTTTGTAATATGATAGGGATTTTAAAAGATAGTACCAAAATGTTTGAAACTTACAAAAACTATTTTCAAAAGGTTTCTGAAAGCAACAGCCATCACAAATAATTTTACAATAGGGTTCCTACTTTCAATCCAAGTAAAAAGGTAAAAGACATACAGTATTCTCTCTTATGCACTGTTTCACTTCCCATGATTTCAGTCGCTTGTGGCCAACTACACTGTGAAACCATTCAATGAAGAAAGTCTGGAAATAATTCACAGGTTTTCAATTGTGCATCATTCAGACCAGCATGTTGAAATTCCTCTTGTTTATACTGCCTAACACATGAACCATCACTCCATATAGTATCTATACTATCCACTCAACCGCTCGTACCCCATCCCCGATATACATTTAAGTTATTACCTTGGTTTTCAAATCAACTGGGATGGTACCACAACCACACAGCTAATGTTCAAGTAACCTGGCTGATGGTGCCCAATGCTATGTCACAATGCCCCCACTGTTCCCTTCGTGTCATCTGCTTACATAGGCATTGGTTGTACCATCTCACATCATCTCAAAGAAATGGAGGGGGAGTACAGCCCAATAAAGTATTCTAGGAGAGGACATATTCAAACCTCTTTATTAGTAGTAGTTTAATTTTATTGTATGCGTTCATCATACACGTTGCCATGCTACACATATACATTTCCACACAATTATACAATATATGTTAGACATATTTCTTACTGTACCTCCCTATCTGCGGTCCTTGTTTTAACCCTTCCTCATCCTGTTAGTCTATTTGTTCCTCTGGTTTATGTGTGTGTGTGTATATATATATATATGATTTTATGTATATATAGATACTATATATATGATTTTATGTATATATATATACTATATATATATATATATATATTCTAAGAAGTACAAGTGAGAGAAAACACATGCTTGTCTTAGACTACAAAACAAGTCCTTCAAACCACACAGCTTCATTTCTTTTAATGGCTGGGGAAATGTTTCATTTTATAATTTAAATTTTTATTTTTTCAATAATATATATGACCTACTGAGTCCCTTTAGGGCTTGTGCATATATACAGGAGGTTGGGGCTGACCACTTGGAACAGAATAACCTATCGGGGAGCTGGTCCCTAGCAAAGAGTGATTCCCCTTCTCTCAACAACCATCAGTTGCCTCCAATTTCTCATCTAGGGATAGGACCTTGTGAAATTTCCCCCATCCAGGCTGGAATGTCAGTTGGTGTTATTATGCAGCTCTTGTTTTAGAGACCATAATTTTTAATATTCTTGGGTGCAACTTCCCTGTCATGTCTGGAAGATACTATTCTAGCAGCCAGGGTCCTGGCCCTCTGACTTTTATAATCTTTTCATCCTCTCTCCCATGATTTTCCCTGAACCTTAAGTGTAAGAATTGTGTTATAGTTTATATCAATTGGGTCTGGGCACTCTGCACATACAGCACATTTTTAGCCTATTTTTCTGATGTTAGACACAGTTGTTTATATATTATTATAATTGCTCTATTTTACTATTATTTATTACTGGTAATCTCTTCTACTTAGTTTCTAACATAAACTTTTCATGAGTGTGTAGATATGGGAAAAGCATACAGACTGGGTTCAGAACTACCTATGGTTTAAGGCATCCCCTGGAGACTTGGAATATATATCCTACCAAGAGAGGGAAAGGTGGATTATTGTACTGAAAATACGTTGAAATAAATCACTAAAACCCACAGCAGTAAAAATTAACAAATATTATATACATAATGAATAATAATTTTAAAAATCAGTTACCCCATCGGGACTGTGGTGGTTTGAAAGAAAATGATTGCCAAAGGGGGTTTCAATATTAGGAGGTGTGACCTTGTTGGAGGAAGTATGTTACTGTGGTGGCAATACTTTGAGGTCTCTTTTGCTTAAGTTTCACTCAACGTGACACTAAGTCTACTTCCTGCCACCTTCTGATCAAGACATAGCCAGCACCAAGTCTGCCTGCACACTGCCGTTTATCCTGCCATGATGATAATGTACTGAACCTCTGGAACTGTAAGCCATCTACCTCAATTAAATGATTTCCTTTATAAGAGTTGCTGTGGTCATGGGGTCTCTTCACAGCAGTAGAAACCCTAATTAAGACAGAAGTCGGTACCAGGCTCTGGGATATTGCTGTGATAAGCCTGACCAGGTTTTTGTTTGGAGAAATATAGAATTTGGGAGTTGGGGTTAGGAAAGCAGTGGAATGCTTTAAATACTGTTTAGTGGGTCATAATAGTAGGTGTAATGATCTGTCCTGTCTCTTTAAGGGACAAGACAAGCCCACTACCTCCCCTGTCTGCTGAGGCAAGCAGATTTTCAACTTCTAGCCTGAGTCCCTTCCTTTCCATCTCCCTCTCTAAGAGGCAGCTTCTGTCTCTCCCTTCTCCCCCACTTCTCCCCTTCCCCCATCTGTTCTGTTTCTCTCTCTCTCTCTCTCTCTCTCTCTCTCTCTCTCTCTCTCTCTCTCCCCTCTTCCCACTTCTCCCCTTCTCTTCCATAGCCCACTAAATAAATATCCAAGTTCACTCTGCGTGGTGTGCCTATCCATCTTGGGTCTCTCACCCGCCACACAGCTTTCTGCCTGGGACCCAGCTACCTTCATTGTCTGCCCTGGTCTCGGGACCCACTGCCTGCTGCCTGCACTTTGGGGTCCTGCAGCATGGTCTCATGGCCTGCTGCCCACTGCAGCCATTTGGAGATCTGCAGTGTTTTACTTTTACCATTACAGTAGGAGCATGGAAGAGAGTGGTGCTGAGTGTGATTTGATGAACTGTGGGGGCTACCTCAAAATGTTTCAGAAGAAAATAATTTTAGTATGTTGCCTAAAGATTGTTCTTGTAATATTTTGGTGAAGAATGTGGCTGCATTTTTGCCCTTGTCTGAAGAGTCTGCCTAAGGCTAAAGGGAAGAGATTTGGATTAATTCCATTGGCAGAGGAAATCTCAAAACAGCCTAGTATAAACTCTGTTTTGTGGTTATCAGTGCTAACTCTGATGATTTATAATGAAAAGGAGCAAGCTGAGCAAATAAAAATACAAAATGTACAGATTGAGAAAAGGAGCACCAATAAGTGGAATAGATAAATCCTGTGTTCAAGGAGATAAACAGATTAAGAAATGAATAAAGGGAGTGGTGACTTCCAGGCAAGATCCCAGCCAGCTAAATGTCCAACTTGTAAAAAGGAACTAAAGAAAAACAGACAGCTAGGTGTGGTGGTGCACACCTTTAATCCCAGCTCTTGGGAGGTGGAGGTTGGCAGACCTTTGAGTTTGGGGCTAGCCCAATCTAGAGATTCAGTTTCAGAACAGTTAAACTTAGTAAAGGACAGAAAGCTGGTAAAGACATAATTGAATGAGGGGGCATGTTCCAGGTAGCATTGGCCACATAGCTCTGCAGTTAAGGATAAAAGAAAGGGGTTATGAAATTTGCCCTGAGGCTAAGGAATGTTGCTGTGGCCAGGCACGTGTCAAGGGTGTCCCTGAATAGAGGCCTAGAGAGGACTTTGTGTGAAGTGTGAAGTTGAAGCCTGGATTGCCTTGGAGACCCCAAGATGTTAGAGATGTCAGGGCCATAGGATACCCATCGAGAAGAGTTGATAAAGGAAGAGGAACCAACCCAAGAGAAAGACGTGTGCTGTAGTTAATAATGGTGAAGAGCATTTTGACACCAAACGTGAAGACGCAAAGTTTGGAATTTGCCCAGCTGGTTTTTGGTCTTGCTTTGGTCCAGTATTTCCTCACTGTGTCCCTTCTGTACATTTTGGAACGGTTATGTATATCTTGTGCCATTAAATATTGGAAGTGTGTGATCTGTTTTTTTATTTTTGTTTTATAGGGAATTAAAGTTAAAAGATTACATAATTCTCAGAAGAGATTTTGAACTCTGGACTCTTAAACATTGTTGAGAGTGTGACAGACTATGGTAACTTTTGAAGTTGGATTAAATGCACTTTGCATTAGGATATTGTTAAAAAGTTATGTGGGCCAGAGAGTGGAGCGTGGTAGTTTTAATGTAATTGGCACCCATAAGCTCATAGGGAGTGGCACTATTAGGAGGTTTGGCTTTCTTGGAGTATATATGGCCTTGTTGAAGCAAATGTGTCACTCGGGTGGGGGGGGCAGGCATTGAGATTTCCCATGCTCAAGTAACCCAGTGTCACAGACCACTTCCTGTTTCCTTCTGATCAAAATGCCGCCAGCACCTTGTCTGCCTGCACACCACCATGCCCCCCACCATCATGATAACAGACTGAACCTCTGAAACTATAAGCAAGCCACCCCAATTAAATGTTTCCTTTATAAGAGTTGCTGTGGTTGTCCTGTCTCTTCACAGCAATAGAAACACACGGCAAGGACCTTTCCTAACGTACTTCTCTAAAGCAGTTGCCCATCACTGTAACTCTTTAACCCGAACTTTTTTATTTCTGCTTTTGTCCATTCTTAACCTGATGCTGTAGAGTCTGGAATAGCCCATAACTTCCACAAGATTGCTAAGAATTAACCTCCTAAGATTTGCAAAAATTCTTCAATGATTTATATTTTATAAAAAATTCAATTTGTATACACTTACGACAACTAGAGATGAACCATCTCACGACAGATGAGTTGATATATTTTTGTCACCATGCAAAACAATATGTGTACTATAGCCTGTAAAGCAAACTAAATAATATACTAAATAGCACAGAGACCTAGGTTAGAACAAAACATGATTAGTCTAAATTAGATCTAAAAAGGATCAATGAAATTATTTCTAATGATATCTGCCATACACATAGATAGGTGCCTTGTCCAGTTGTCATCAGAGAGGCTTCCACTGGCAGCAGACACAAGCATGTGCAGAGACCCACAGACAGACATTGGGTGCCTTCCCTTGGAGCTCAGGGGAATCCCAAGGAAGAGGAGAAAGAAAAATTGTATGAGTCAAAAGGGATGGAGGCTCCCAAGAGAGCATGGCCCACGGAATCAACTAAGCAGGGCTCGTTTGAGCTCACAGAGATGGAAATGGCAAGCATGGGTAGGTCCTTACATGGGTCTGTACCAGGCCCTCTGCGTATTATGGTTGATAGCGTGGTGGTTTTGTGGGACTAGTAACAGTGGGAGTGGATTATCTCCAACTCTTTTTCCTGCTCTTGAGACTGTTTTCTTCCTACTGGGTTGCCTTGTCCAGCCTCAATATGATGACTTTTGGCTTGTCTTACTGTATCTTGCTTTATTCTATTTGGTTGTCATCTCCTGGAAACCTGCTCTCTTCTAAAGAGGAAATGTAAGGGGAGTAGATATGGGGGAGTAGATATGGGGAAGAGTGGAGGAAGGGAAAACTGTGGTTGGGATATATTATAAGATAGAAGAATATATTTTCAATATAAGAGAAAAATCTCGACCATTTCTTTAATAGCTTCTAAAAAGTAACCAGTATGTCCTTTATGTTTCAGTTATAAGCAACAACTCAGCA